TAACTAATATTGCAACTTATGGTGAAAGTCAGATTAAGATCGATCAATTATAAATCATGAGTTTTTAATGGTTAGGTAACGGATTATGTCTATAAATAACAAAAAGGAAATCAAAATTTTATTTTCTATTCTGATGATTATAATCGATGCCTCTTGTACAATTATTAATCAGTTTTGATTGACATTACTAAGAATATAACTATTGATAAAATGATCAGAAATCGATGAAAAAAAAAGGGTATGATTTCAATCTACTTAGGCCAGTCCAAAAATAGTTGCGGAGGTATATCAATTTCTTATAGAAACTTCTGAGGAACTCTTATTCTTTACAGTACGATAGAGAAAAGAAAGCTGTATTTTTTATGCTATTTGATCGTACTTTAACTAATATGATGATAATGCATTTCCCATAAGACTTTTTTCGTTTGCATAGTTCCAGGTTGTAAGTTGTACATCGCAGTTTTCATTTCCTTGTTAGTTGTATTAGCAACCAAAATATGTCATAACATGCAACGTGAAAAGCTCTACAATCTACATAGTAAAGTTTATTGAAATTGTTTTGAAAGAAAGGAAAATTCTATACGATCAATTTTTACAACGACCAAAGCTCGATCACTCAAAGCCTTGCCCATTTTGAAAAGAAAAAGTGCAAATAGAAAATAAGTGGTTTTGTGGAAATTGTAGAGCTTTTCATGCTGCACCTTGTGGCATATTTTGGTTGTTAGTATAATGTATTAGTGAACTAAAAAGACTAAACGGTCTGGCTCATTGTGTGCTAGTACAACGAGTAGATATGTTAAAGAAAAAAGTTTTATGAAAAATTTATTATTATCATATTAGTTAAAGTACGATCAAACAGCATAGAAAAGTAGAGCTTTATTTTCTTTATCAGACTGTAGAGAAAAGCAGTTTCTCAGAACTTTTTATAAGAAATTGATATACCTCCGCAACTACTTTTGGGCTGACCTAAGCAATTTATATATGCAATTTGTTTTTCATGAAGATACATTCAAGTTGAGTTCATCTTGCAGCAATGGCCGTGATTATTTGAAAATCAGTTTTGGAGACACTGGTTCAACTTATTCCAATAATGATTCTATGTGTCTTTACATTCTTTTCGAAAGCTTCTCGCGGCTAGTGTATAGAAGACGAATGTTACTTATAAAAAAACATTTAGAAATATGAGATTGTAATGTCAGAATGGACACACCGCTGTATAAATGAACATAAAGTTGTAGTCAAAGAAAACGATGCTCGGCCATGTCGTATAGAACGGTCAGTACACGGCCCTAAACGACTACCTTCTAAGGCGAACGTTTTTTACCGTTTTATATCTCTTTTATTTGGAGATATAAATATGGGTAAAATAGATACTTACACATCGTCGTTCAACTTATTCTATTTCATTTAATTTTTTTTTTAATTTTTATGGTATTCAATTTTAATTTTTCGATTATTTCATTGTTTCTTATTTTTTTCCCGATATTTTTTTTGTTTGTTTTATTTCATGTTATTTTGTGTGTAGACTTTTCCTTTGAAAATAAATGTATAATAATATTATTAAATTAAATTTTTAAAAAGTATAAATGATCAGCGTAACTCTCACGTAAAATGGTGAAAAACGGCCCGCAATCCGAGCTGACGGAAAACTGCTGAAAACAGCGGTCGTTTTTCATCGTTTAGGGCATTGTTTGCGTCGTTTCTTAACCGTTTCAGGCAGTTTAATGCCATCTTTCAGGCAGTCTAAATGATGGATCTGGATGGGAGTATTTATCCTGAATAGCTATACATCGCATTTTGTGATACTATCAACGATACATAGATCGGGATAATTGGCAATATAGAATTTAGGAGTATGAAGACAATAATTTGAAGTACAGACAAGTGAATAAGTTGAACATCACATATGTGGGGTGGTGTTGGTGTGATGTTGTATTGAAAGTAGATGTCTCTAGTGCTACACTTCGATTTCCATTCTCCATAATTTGGGGAACAATTTGATGCCCGATGCGTCCACGCACATTCAAAACCATCAGTACGCTGAATAGGCTAATGATTATCTAGATTGAACAAACGAAAAGAAAAGAAGTAAACACTTCATAAAAACAAATTATACCAATGGCAAAAATGATATCATGATAATATATACTGAATAGAAGAGCAGATAAGTAGAGTCAAGTTTATGGGAACAAGTCGGAAATTGACTTTCATATCCGATGATAGCACGAATCATAGATTTTCATCGCGGGCGAAAATCTACCGCTGTCGCCTCGCTACTGCGCCGCTAACGCCGTGGGCATGTATCGCATGAATGCTAAATAATGACCAAAAGACAATGCCACTAATGATCAACTTTCGAGCTACACGAGGTGCACTTTGTTTGAGAAGCCATGCTTTGAACGACGTAACCAGCCATCGATCTATAGAAATTAAGCAGAGAAAATAGCCAGCGAGAGCAACGCTCAAATTATATCCATATGTCAGAAGTTTGCATAAAGGAAGTATGTATTGAAGAATATCATTGTCGGTTCAGGCAGAGACGATCATTGGTTAACAGGAAACGTACAATAAGACAATATTACTCAGGGATAAATAGACAAAATACGATGAACAAATATTAATTCGAAGTGAACGATGAGAGAATATGATTGCATCAGCTAAATTGCCGAAATTATCAATGATAAAAACCAAGGGTAATTCATAAAGAAAAAGAGCAACTCCTATTTGATTTTGTTGAATTTGTAACCATGTTGGCATCTTCCTTCTCACTGAAAAAAGTAATGAGCGTCTATTGTGTAGAATGCGTTATTTTAAATTAGTGGTGACAGTTTAACTTTATTTAAACTGTTACCGTGTTTTGCTTCAACTTTAACTTGTAAAGTAAAGTTAAAGTGCTACTCCTATTTTAAATCACTCTCTCTTCTTCTGCTCGAATGATGAAATGGAAATTAGATTAGCTTGATTTTATATAAAGAACTACTTAAAACAAGCAACTTGTATTATTCTATGATATAATTAGTTTGCTTCATGTACTTAGTGCCTTCCAAATAACAATATCATGATTCTATGATTTCGACTTAGTTTACTGTTAAGAAGAGTCAGGTAGAAAACCATGTGGATCTTTACGCGTATGATCTCAATTTATTCTTACAGGACTGGTATCCTTCAGCTCTTTTATGTTCTAAATGGTTGAATATTGACCTGTTTACTCACACTTTCAAGATAAGGCTTAACTCTGACGAAATGATGATAAATGTGAACAGTCATTTTAATCCGATTTCACCACTATTTCAATATGATTAAAGCTAGGATAGCTCTGAGAACTGAACTGATTTTGATACTATTTCGAATATGTCTCTATATTTTCTCTTTATTTAGCTCTTGTCATTTATTTCAATATCTGTCATTGACAAAATCATCAGTTTTACATGCTAAATAATAGCTTTCATATTTGTTACGTTCTTCTTTGTATCATTTATCTGATAGTAATCAAAATTATGTTCTATGGGACAACCATCTCTCTCAATGTGAGAAGAGAGGGGAAATTGGGAAAAGACAGAAAAATAATAGATAGAGAGCAATAAATAAGTTCAATAATCTACCTTTACGTATGCTGGCTAGTCAAAAATAAATAGTTGCATCCTAACGTCATAGACTAATGATAGTTTACCCGTAAAATCTGGTATACTATCGTTAGTTATTTTATCTAATGTCATTAAACTGTTTTTTACTCTTTTTTTTTGTATTATCATTCATTCTTTTTGAAGACGACGTATAGAAATCAGGAATGCTGATATTGACAGTATGAGCAAATTAATAAATGAAAGAAGTTGCTTGTAATCTATTGACTGTATGCCATCTTCCGTACCCGATCTGATTTTCTTGTTTTTTTTCAATATCACAAATACTTTCACGCATATGCAGAATGAGCCAGTTTAATCCGTGATACGCCATGATCTCTATGGTGTTCAAACTTGTTTCGGTCATATAGCTGATCGTGTAGAAAAAATGAAAAAAGTAAGCAAGTTTCGAATTCTCTCTCATGTGAATGAATTCGACCACATTCTACCAGCCGACAGAATTCTATGCGATTTCGAAGAGAGGAACTACTCATGTATCCAGCAGTTAAGTTTTATTTAATTAGTTAAGCACTACTTAGTTCCTAATACCAACATTAGATGTCACCGAAAGTTAGACTCCGCCGAATCCAATACTTGTGGGATTCAAATGTTACTCTTCAACTCTCAATCTCACATAAAATCTAGTTGGATCCGATTAGGTCAGATGATTTTCCTGGATTTTTCTATTTGCTTGTTTTTCTTACCATTCTTTCATAAACGCTAAAATCATAGCAATAAATTCAAATTATCATTCCAGAATGCTATAAATCATATAAATAAGCATCTAGCTTTTGACCGGATCATCCTATTCGAACATTTATTGGAATTTTCAAACATTTATTGGAATTTTCAGTTGTGAGCACTGAATATCCGACTGTATAGAAACAAATCTATGTAACCTTTGCCGAATAATAATTTAGTATCGAAAGAAATCAAAAAAAGGTAGGTAGAAGACCTATTATTCGCTAAGAAATAATAATAAAGAATTCTTCTGATAAAGAAAACCACATTTATTTATTGTTTTGTTTTGTTCAGCAAACGTTATACAGCACAAATGATTATAATTAGGGCAAAGTCTACTAAATTGTACAAATGCATCAGCTACTACAGAACAAAAGAAAAGTCTACTACATTCAAAATATAACTCAATAAGACAAAGAGTAAAATATGCAAAAAACAAAACAAACGACATGAATATTCGACAATGATTAAAAGAAAAAAAAACAGCAATACACAAACAGTGTAATAAAGCAGAAGAGCAATTTGAATAAAATGTCACAATACAAAGTATGACGAGATTCAAAAGAAAGACACATATTCAAAAACAAACATTGCACACAAAAGAAATATTCAATATGTATATTGACTTTGTATTAATCATTAGTTCCTGACTCGAGAACGAACTTTTCGTGTAGATTCAGCTAGATGACAGATGAAAAATAATCATGAAAAAAACAAAGAAAACTTTTTATAAAATTATCTTTCACCTTGTTGTGGACTATCACTGTCTCGACGCATACCACAAACACCTTGTGCTGCTTGATTTGCCAATTTCGATGCATATAAATTTGCTTCTTCTTGTGCTTTGCCAATATTTTTTTTATATCGAATACGTTTATTACCAAACCAATTGCTAACCTAGAGAAAATAGTTATCTTTTAAAAAGCTATAATTCTTAGCAGCTATTCTTTCATGACAAAAAAATATATATAAAGAGAGAGAGAGAGAAAGAGTTTCAACTGTAGCATCTCTTTCTCGAGAACGCCTAAAATTAAAAACGACCGATTACCTGTGACACACTAATACCACATTTACGAGCAAGTTCTTCTTTGGCTTCTTCACTTGGATATGGATTCGATAGATGTGAATAAAAATATTCATTGAGAACTTCAGTAGCTGTTTTACTAAAATTACGACGTTTTCGTCTAGAAAAATACAAATACATAAAAGTCAAATGGAAATCCGAATTTTTCTATACAATATTTACCGTGCGTCAAGAAACCGCGAACGAAGTATCATCACAGCTTCACATGTACTTTGTTTGAGTTGTAATTGAATTGATGAAAATTTTTTCCGAATTATTGATACCATTCGATCAATTTCTCGTGGTGATATTGGTCGCGCTCGACTTTGCTCTCGTAATAAATTAATAACATGACTAGTGAAATCATTGCATGCTTGTTCCTATTAATTAAAGACAAACGATCATTCTTTTACTATTAAACTAATCTCAAGTCTAGTTCGTTCTAATGCAAACATGTTTTTCTCGCGAATACATACATATTTTTCCAATTCAGTATGATAAAGTTGTCGAATTTGTGATAATTTCGCTCGATAATCTCCATGTTCAAGTGCAGATTCATCATTGATACTTGCTGCTGCATTAGCATTGGCAACAGATGACGATGAACCACCTAATCGTTCCGGTCCAGCAATACCTTCTGCTAATAACATATTGTCAAGACGCATTAATTGAGCATCAGGTGGTTCATCTTCAGAAAAATTTCGAAGATTAATGGCTACAATAAAATATCATCATTAAATAGAGAAATAGAAAAATAAAAAGATCCTTTTTTTCTCAAACCTGTTTTTTCTTTTATTTCACATAATACTTGAAAAAAAGCAGGTTTGAGTCGACTTTGATTAAACGCATGTTTTCTATAAAAGAAAAAAATTAACTTTGAAGTTTACTTTTAACTTTTGAAATTAATTAACAAACCGCGCTTGAGCTTCATCAAGGCTTTGATCGACAATTGACATGATTTGTTGTATCATTCCATTAACATCGTTAAATGGCTTATTTTCATTCGCATTCATATCATATGAATTATATTTGGCATCAGTTGTTGATAAAGTCAATGGTGAAATCATTGGATTATAAAGTGAAGAACCAAGATTTGAATTATACGTAGGATCTTGACCGTCCATTTTATTCCGATAAATTACGCTAATCTAATCGGATTCAGATTGTTCTTATTTTTTTCTCCATATTTTACCCTGAAATTAACAATGTTATAAACAAATCTTTTCTATTGGTTGATTTCATGTGCATTAACGTGTTGATGTAGATGACTGTTTTCTAGAAAGGATACAGTTTATTTTATATATATTATCTAATTGGTTGTTAACTAACAATGATCTTTCATTGTTCATTCAAATAATATTTGATCATCTTCATACAAGATCTTTAGCGATGAACGGTTCATACGGTAATACGAATTTTGTTGTACGTCTTCGTGGTTTACCATGGAATACAACACAAGTTGAAGTTCAAAATTTTCTTCAAGGTTTTTTCAATTAATTACAATTAAATTTTTGATAATTAAAAATATGATCGTGCTTTTCAGGTTGCAATGTTCGCCAAACAAATTTTGTAACTAATGATCAAGGCCGAGCAACTGGTGAATGTTTCGTTGTATTAGAATCAAATGAAGATGTTGATATTGCAAAAAGTTTCCACCAAAAAAATATTGGTAGTCGTACGTATCTCTACTAAATGTTTGATGAAGCTCTCAATCAGTTTTATTCGTATAGAGAAAAAGTGATACTTGGTAGTAGAAGAGAAAATTTTGATCTGCAACCTAGAATTTCTTTTTTTCGATAGTTCTATTCAATATACTATGAGCATATCTCGATTGAATCTCACAAAAATATAATTATGTAATGAAATGGAATAAAGTACTAATAGTTAGTACAATCCTAATAAACACACTTAGAAATCATTCTTTCAGTGGATTGTTATTAGTGAAGAAATATTTTGAATTTCATATTTATTTAAGGTTATATTGAAGTATTTGAATCAAATGCTGATGAAATGACTCAAACAACAAAAAATAACACCGCCGCTACTACCAACAACAACAACAACAACAATAATAATAATAACAACAATGCCAATAGTAACTCAAATACTACTAATCAAAATAGTGAAAATAATTCGTCAAATACCGATAATTGGCGTGAACCAGTTGTTCGTCTTCGTGGTTTACCATATAATTCAAGCAAAGAAGACGTGACACGATTTTTCGACGGTACGTACACACTGATTTCATAGGGAGTGAGATAGAGAGAGAGAGAGAGTAAAGAGGATAAAGAGATTTTCAGTTGGAAAAATTCCTCTCCAAGATTAAAAAGGAAAAGAAAATCTATATTGTTTTGTCTTGTTTTTGTCTATTTTTTGGGATTACCTCACCTTGTAGGACTCGACATAGCTCAGAATGGTGTACACATCTCCTCGAGCAAACCAGCAGGCGAGGCTTTCGTCGCTTTTGTGAACATGGACAATGCCCTACGAGCTTTGGAATTCAACCGCATGAATATGGGGCATCGGTACGGTAAACTGAGAGAGAAGAAAACCTTCTTTTCCTACTCTAGATAAAAAAAAATTGATTTCGATGTTGTTAATTTCTCAAATTAAATTGATCGAATAGAATTTTAGAAACTACATATCTATTTGCCTATAATTTTATAATTTTGCTTTTTAATTTCCTATTCGATTAATTTACTGGAATAAAAAATGATTTATTTTTGTTATTTTATTATATCCGTATTCCCTGTTTTGTCCTGTTTCACTTTTTCTAAAATTCATTTACTTTTTTATTTCTATCTCTTTTAATAATATTCTAATGTTTTAATTATGATTATCATTAAAACAGCTATATCGAAGTGTTCAAATCGACATATGCTGAAGCTCGTGCCTCAATCATGAATGATACACAATCGATGGCACGACAACGTGGTAGCGGACCTAATCAAAATTATGGAAATCAACGACAAGGAAATTATGGTGGTTATAGTGGTAATATGGGGGGTAGCGGTGGTAACAGTGGTTTTAATAATAACATGAATCAATTCGATGGTCCGCCACAAGACAATTACAATTTCGGTGGAGCTGACGATGCCGGTAACAACTTTCCAATGAATAATCAAATGGGTAGCGGTACTGGAGTCAAACGTGAGTATTATGAATAGACATTTGCCTATTTTGATGGGAAACTTTTTTTTACAGGACCCATGACTGTATCATTTACTATGAAAATACGTGGTGTACCATTTGAAGCTGGCGAAAAAGAAGTTTTTGAAGTAAGAAAATTATTATATTGGTGTTTTTCAACAATAGAAAGTCTAACGATAGAGGAAATTTCATATTGCACGTACAGATGGGAATATAAAACTACTGTCCCTCGTGAACACCCATAATTCGAGAATGAACTTTAAAAAAGACGATATTTTATATTTTAGTTCTTCAGTCCTGTTGTACCTATTCGACTTGAGCAAGAAAATACTCCGCGTGGTAAACCACCAATATGGTATGCTGAATTCGGTTCGCGTGAAGAAGCAACTGAAGCACTAACGTAAGGCTGTTGATTTTGAATAAATTGCATTTTCAAAAATTATACCTTTTTAGATATCATAAAAAATATATGGGAACGCGATATATTGAATTATTACCATTGTATGATGATGTCAATCGATCGAAAATGGTTCGCACATGAAAAGCATAAAAAGCGAAACGTTCTTTATTATATGTACAGAAACAGCGCGTGTGCTCTTTTTTTTTCTTCTTTTACTATTGTTGCAAGAGATAACTTCTGAAAAAAATGTTATTTGATCTACGCTTAATTCTTTCGTCATGTTTTCTTGTTTTTTATTTTAACAATCGAAAGAAGATCACATAGGTAAAATATGGGTGAAAACCATTCCAAGAAAGAAGAATAAGCGTGTATTGTCTTTCTGTTATTGTTCTGGTTTCTTTTCTCGTTCTCTATGCTTAGTCTTGGCTTTCTTTTTGTGTATCGTATTCTTCGTCATGTTCGCACAAATGAAAAGAACAAATAAAAATTGAAACTTTGATTTGTTCGTCAAGAAAACAGAACTATAAATGAATAAAATAAAATAAAAGAGGCTCTTTCCAGATGGCTACACCTACACCTGAAGAACTCGATCGACAACTCGATGAATTCATCGATAAACTTGTTGAAGACAAAGATCAGCTTCCAAAGGGCGAACTTGATGATGCGTTTTGGAAAGTAAGATGAATGATAAATCATTGCTTACTATGGATTATTCAATTTTATGTATGTATACTAGGATCTAGAAGGGCATCCATTCTTTCTTAAAGAAATGCCAGATGATGGTGCTGAACTACATCCTGCTACGGCAGCGTTACAAGCATTGCAATGGGATGATGATGAAGATACACCTTTAGGTAGTAAAGCTCGTTAATTTATCTGATTAAATTGCTCTTAGCATGGAGTTCTTTGTGCTCTAAAATTCGTACATAAGAATGTATCAGCAAGAAGTATGAATCACTTTCCATGAGATGGTTAATCATTTGATAGTTATCTGCAAGAATAAAATGGTTTGTCTATTCGTAAAGTCAGACACGCATTTATTTACACCTCGAACTGTAACAAACAAATAATGTAGTCGACCTTATCATTTCCCAGTGTCACTTAGTGTTCGAATTTTCTTTTATTTCGAAGTCCATTGATACAGATAAAAATATTTTCAGTTTGTACGAATAGAACCTTTCATAAGAATTGACCTTTTGATTTTTTCATTAAAATTTAGATAGAGCAAAGAAATTTAAAGACGAAGGAAATAAATATTATGGATATAAAAAATATCGCAATGCAATCCTAGCATATACAGAAGGTATAAAACAACGTTGTTCGGATCCTACAATCAATGCTGTTCTGTTTTGTAATCGAGCAACAGCTAATTTTTATTTGGGTAAATACGAATCTTTTCAAAAAACATTTTTGAAGAGAAAATATTTCATTAGGTAATTATCGGTCGGCTTTACATGATTGTGTATTCTCACGAAAATGTAAATCTGATCATCTTAAAGCGTTTATCAAAGGCGCTGAATCATGTATGAAACTTGAAAAATATAAAGATGCGCAAACATGGTGTTCTGGCGGCTTATCAGTATCCTTTTTGTTAATTGTTTATTTTTTTTTGACTTAATTTAAATCTTATTTTCTTTTTCCTTAACAAAGTTTTTTTTTCTTGTTTAATGTTTTCTAATAATAATGCTCAACTTATCGAAATGCGTGATCGATCAGCAAAATTACAAGTAAGAGTAACAAAAAATGGTTTTGTAGAAAAATCTCCTTATTTACTTTTCTAGAAAGAAAAAGAACGCGACGAACGCAAACAACAAGGTCGAGAGCGTAAACAGAAAAGTGAACACGAAAAAGTTCTCAATGCTATTCGAGTATGTAGAAATTAATCGATTATAAATTTAATAGATTCAATTCGTCTTTTCTCTAGGAACGAAATATTCATTTACAAAAGGATCCAAGCATTGATATATTTGATATCAGTTCAAATCCAGCCGGTAGTTGTGTGCAATTAAACGAAACTGATCAAACATTAACATTTCCTGTTGTTTTTCTCTACCCGGAATATGCACAAACGGATTATGTAAAGACGTTCCATGAAAATACACGGTAAATTTAGATTTCTACTAAATAGTTTATTTATTGCTTCTCTCTACAGACTCATTGAACAATTGTCTGTTTTGTTTGAATCGCTTGCACCTTGGGATGAAGAAGGCAAATATACATTAGATCGAATCGCGGTAAGGTTTTTGATTCACAAAATTCTAACAAAACCTTTTATTGTTTAGATTTATTATGAAGATCGACGTAAATATGAATTAAAAACAGTTTCATCCGATAAAACATTACTTGAAGTACTGCAGCTACCGGGGTAGGATTCTTCAGTGTTTTTATTCGTCTTAATTTTTTTCTAAATTAGATATGTTGTTCAACTTGGCATGCCAAGTTTCATAATCATGATTCCTGATTCTCCGTTTGCTAAACATTATCTGAAAATGCATGCAGAATTGTGATCATTTTTGTTTTTTTAAAATTTTGATTCAATAAAAAACAAAATCATCAATTGAAAAATATCTGCTTTGAAGTATTCTTCATATTGGCCTTATTTCCACAAAACAATCAGTTGGAACACACTTTTCAATAATAAAAATCTCTCTCCAACAATTATCCGTGGAACACCATCACATAAGACACCTAGAGAATATGCAATATCAATCGACTTTATTAAATGTTCGTTCTGTTAACTTGAGCATCACACAAAAACTTCATTATATCAATCGAATTTAACACTGAAATATCGATAATTACCATGAAAAGTATCGATCGATTATTTTTCAATTAATAATATTTAAAATTTAAACTTGTTGCATTCAATATCTACGATATTTTATTAGAACCAGTAAAGCTCCCTCAGTGTCGCAAAGCACTTTTTCACTAAACTAATTTTTATATCAAAAGTTTCGATGGATTTCGGTACTTGACAGGTTCTTTGCCCTCCTTTTGTCAAAATAGCTTATTATTCAAATCATACCCATGATTAAAAAAGTTTTGTTTTCGATGAACATTAGTTTATCGTTCTTTACATGGTAATTACATTACAACTTCAAGACAAAAAAGATTAGAGAATATTTCTCTTTGTTTTAATGTAGATGCATTATCTATTTATTGTTCTTTGTCAAGATAAAAATGATTCAATTGTAATAAATATAAATTATTTTCAATAAAATGCATTCAAACACTTGGAGAAAGATTAGCGGCAATTTTTATGAAAAATTTGTATGAAGAACAACAGAAAAGAGATGAAGCATAAAGAAAAAAACCCTTTTTGCTCGTTAAACTTTTAAATCTAACTTATTGTAGAAAAACATAAACATTTATATCCATATATTACTAATTGAAGTATAATACTTGATGTAGTCATGTAGCTTGGCAATAATATAATAAAAGCATATCATAAAATATTGTTTCTTCTTGTTTTATTATCGATTTGAGCGATGAAAAAGTAAACCTGCTAGCAATTCATATACTTTCTTAAAGAATAGAAATACATTACGAAACTATTTTCATTCTTCGTAAAAATCCATGAATCTGAAAGTGGACTATAAAAATCGCATGTGAAACATTCAATCATTGACTGATATTATTATATAGGTCGGTTATCAATTATAATCATACATCGCAGTGTCCTGAGAAATCCCGAGGGGAATGTCCTTTGGAAATAATTTTTTCGCTGAAACCCTGAAAAGCGCTGCGATGTATGATTATAATTGACTTCACATTTCTCTTCCTTTCCATTTGCTTTACCATTGCTGACGTACAACTCCATAGCATAATTATACGTTGATGGTTGTCTCGTAATATTGATTAAACAATGCATCGTTATATATCATTTTGTATTAATTCCGTGCTTGATTTTTTCTTGAATAATAGAGACCGCTAAATAAAACTTTTTCTATGAGATATAATTATGTATGAAAATATTTTGTCAGGCACTAGTAAATAATAAACTTTAGTCATTAGAAGCAGCTTGAATGAACAAATTTATCTCTTCATGATGCACACCTAAGAAGAGTTTTTCAGTATTCTATTCATTCAGAAGAAAATGGCTTTAATTAAAGAAAAATCTAACCTAGTCTTTTTTATACCTTTCGTTTCTGAAATGCAATACTTTTACTCACCGGCTTCTTTCACAAAGTCAAAAATATATTATTCAATGTGACTGCGCAGTGATAATGATGGGAGAGCTTAATAATTATGAAGGAAAACTCTGTCTTTCAATAGTTTCATGATTATAAACAATGAATAATTTAAGCATAATATGGGCATGATACATGGCAAAAGGGCCCTTATAAATATACGGTTAGTCTCAGAACAGCCTGTCATATTTTTCTTTGAGCACGGCGTATAGACTGAAAGCAAATTCATTCATTTTATAGGTGAAAACTTATTTAAAGTAAATAAAAAGACTATCACATATATTTATTTTCAACAAAATTCAATACAATATGAGTCAATTACTTCGAACAGTACTACAAATAAATATCTATGTTCAACCTGTATATTTATCTCTTTCAATTATTACCAATTCACTTAATATTTGTATATTATCTTCTCGTACTCTTCGTTCATCACCATGTACACACTACTTTATCGCCAATGCGATATTCAATATCATATATACTTCTTTGTCATGCCCAATAAATTTTGCACGTGGCTTTTCCATTGACTGGACAATCAATCCGATTGGATGTAAAATGCAAATGTACTTTACATTCTTATCAGCGTTTTTAGCAAATGTCATGCTTGTCACAGCTTCGTTTGATCGTTATTGTTCAAGTTCACAATTACAACGACTTTCCTCACAAAGTAAAATACGGACAGCAAGAATAATTATTATCATTAGTACAATATCAATCAGTATCTATATGATACCAATGTTGCTGATGTACTATTTCAAAGAATCAACCGGAACATGTTTACAAATCACGAATGTACTCATTAATATATATGTATTCAGTCAAGTAGCTTTCTATTATATTGCAATACCCGTATCGATGATTGTGTTCGGAATATTGACTATTTCTAATACGAAAAAGCAAATCGCTCGAGTAGGAGCTAATGTAACAAGTGGACGTGGTCGTCGAACTGAAAATCAATTAACTCGAATGTTACTGTTGCAAGTGACTGTTCATCTTGTTCTCACGATTCCATTCGGTGTTATGTACAGTATGAATGCATTTAATCCATCCACCAAAACAACTTATATGCAAGCCATACGAAATCTACTACTCATGTGCAAAGGATGTGATTATTTTTCTTCATTCTTTCTTTATATTCTTTCTGGAAGTGCGTATCGCAAAGAATTTATGCGTATATTGCCGTTTATCAAGCCTCGAAATCAAACCACATTCGAATTGACAAACCTACGAATCGGAACAACACAACACAATCCTATCATGACGAATATTTCACACTAGTCGACGATCTTGACTTCGATCTGTCCAGATTCTTGTTTTTCTTGAACACCAGACAAGATTCTTTTGTCATTCCTTCTGTACAAGATTCTTGTCTGAAAAAACAGATCTTCTCTTTCTGGCATTTTATGTTCTTGCAATTCTTACATGATTCTTGTTTTCTTGCTTTTCTGGTATGATTCTTGTTTCTTGCCATTTAGGCATCCATACGGTTGCCTTCTTTCGGTCCTATTATATTATAATTCCAAATAAAAAATACAAGAAAAGTACATTACATGTGCAAGGAAGTATACAATAAGCTCATAACGCGTACAAAAAAGATTAAGAAAAATATGTAAAAAGAAACGAAAACACTTCAGCAAAACTGTCTATTTAAAAAATATATCTGTTATAGTTCGTCCGCGTCATCTAGGAAAAAAAGATGTAATGTCCAAACTTCTGTATATTTATAAGTATATATATATGTTACAGGGGAAATTGAAATGCAGGGCTATTTAAAATAGCCCTTAGGGGAAATTGAAATTTTAATCTCCCCTAGGGCAAATTAAAATTTTGTTTTTTCCGGGTTCAATTTATGAGAAAAAGTAAAGATTTTGACTTCAAAACGTACTACATTCGCACCCACATCAACATTGGCATCTAATTATCAAGTTCCATCACATCAGTCTTTTCAAAATACCTGAATTCGCGCAAAAGACACTCATCTTATTTGTGGGTATGAATGTAGCGTGTACATGAGGGTGTGGGTGTAAGTGCGTGTATGGGTGCTAGTACTAGTGTGGGTATGCATGCAGTACGTTTTGAAATCAAAACTTTTACTTTTTCTCATAAATTGAGCCTGAAAAAACAAAATTTCAATTTCCCCTAAGGGCTATTTTAAATAGCCCTGCATTTCAATCTCCCCTGTAACATATATATACAAAACATCATGTGATATTTTCTTTAAGATATAGTAAGAATCGTTGAAAGGTGAAGAAAAAAGGTTCTTGTCTGAATTTCAAGAAATTTGAAATATCTTGTAGTTCATTCCAGATTCATATTTTTCTGATTAATCAGACTACACTAGTAGACAATCTTGACTTCGATTTGTCCAGGTTCTTGTTTTTCTTGCTTGTCGGACAAGATTCTTTTTCTTCTTAAAAAGCAGGCAAGAATCATTTCTTGAGTTAGCAGCAAGAATTTTACCTGATTTTCAAGAACCTTGCTACCGTCTTGGACACGAATCTGGACAGATCGAAGTCAAGATAGTCGACTAGTGTAGATTCATTTCATCTTGAACTTCAGGCAAGATTCTTGTCTGAATTTCAAAAAATCTTGAATATCTTGTCATTCTTGCGTGATTCTTATTTATCTGAGCAATCAGACAAGACTATGTTTTTCTTGAATAACAGACAAGAATCTTGTTTCTTTCCTATACCGAAGGATCTTGCCTGAATATTATGATTACAAAAAATCTTGTCTGACAAGCAAGAAAAACAAGAACCTGGACAAATCGAAGTCAAGATCGTCGACTAGTGTAGTGCATCGTTCGTTGCTAGAAAACAATAATTTTGAATTCATATTTCAAAAATGGAAAACTAGACAGGATTGTAATAACACATTTAACAATGACATTTATTTCTGCAAATCATGTTGATAGAAAAAAGAACTAATTTAATTTATCTAAAAGAGAAACAATAAATCAATATGTCTTAATATTATTACAATAGTTTCTAAGAATGCTTTTTGACATTTCTTGACTATTATCGATTTGTTTTCTCCATTTTGATACTTAGTACAGGACTGTAGTGATATTACTTTTCTGAATTTTTAAATTGTCCTACGTTACCTGATTTTGTTTACATATCCCATCTAACTGTGGATTACACGGCTAGTAACTGCATTTTCTTGATGCTCAACGTTTTTGAAGATTTCCATAGACACATTTGTAGAGTAGCTAATCTTGAAGAAAAACAAAGATAACCCAGGTCGATCATCCTGAGCCGTAAACGGCCGTATACCTGTCACTCGCGGTGAAAAAGGCGACCGTATTTTGTAGTCGTTTACTGTTATCGTAAACGAAGCGTTACGATGAAATGCGGTAGTCGTAAATGAGGACCGTGAAAAATCTCCGTAAACGACCGTCGTAACTAAACGCTGACTGTAAACGACTGTCGGATATCACAGTAAACGGTCGGAACCGATGACCGTAAATGATTCAGGAAACGGTTGCCGTTCTTCTATCGTATACTTTCGTAAACGTTCGTTTACGATGACCAGCTATTCGTTTAAAGTATAGTAGCATATTTTAGATTATAGTTTACACAAGCTATCGCAGTGAAAAGTATTAAGTGACCATCGTGTAGGTGAATTTAGCATCGTATTCGAGTACAACCTGTCGATGCTCATTTGAACTGATTTCCAACGTCCATAGTTATATTACTACTAGAACTTCGTATACCATATGGAGTAGTATATTTCGATTAACGGGATTTCGGACCATACTCCGGAAATTTTGAAAAATTAAAAAATTCCTGGTATCCTTTTTCGTAAAATGTGGCCATATTCATTGTGACTAATGTTCCATTCTCGTACCTATGTTTCAAGTGTAACTCGACGAACTCTATCCAGTGGAATCCACATATTTTCCGCAGCTTGAAATTAGACTTCAACGATGATAGAATAATGCCAAGGAAGGCTAAAAAATCCTACTATGAGCAATGAACAATCTGTGGACACCATTAAATAGATCTCCTAGATTTGTGTTTATATCATGAGTGGAACGCTTATAGCAACGCCTTTAACGAATATGGGCAACTTTTAATCTAACATGGTGGTAGAATTTCATAGAAAAATACAGTATTTTGAGATTTTGGGACCGTTATTATGGAGATAAAAAATCTGATTTTACAATTCGATGAAATTTGTTGAGATCTGCTTGACACGCGAGTGTAAGAGTTGAAATATTTTTTGGAATGAATATGGACAGATTTAACAAAAGGAATGTCAGGATTTCTTTGGATTTTTCGAAATTATAGAAGAATGCTTCGAGATCTAGTTAATTCAAATTACCATTTGATAAAACATATGAAATTTCACTAGGAACATGCGCATGCACGTTGGAACATCAGCTCACAAGAGTATCGACAGGTTTTACTCGAATACGATACTAACTTCACTTACGTGTGAAAATCACGATTTTACTCCATCAAAAGTAGCACAATCTTACTACCACGGAAAAAATTAATGGAAATCGTATTTTTGATCTAAAACAAAGAGTCAACGGTCAGAAGAAGTTTTTTGAATATATATGAATATTACAAGAATAGACATTTATAATACAAACAAAAATCCTAAATCACAATGTGAACTAGAAAGTGTGGTCGATGAAGTTTTAAATAGTTTACCATTAAGTGTTATTCAAGCATGTATTAAAAAGACTCAAAAAGTATATAAAGAGTTTGTATCTTCATATTAGATCTTTATTTGTATTATAAATGTCTAGTCTTGTTATATTCATATATATTCAGAAAACTTCTTCTGACCATTGACTCTTTGTCTTAGATCAAAAATACGATTTCCATTAATTTTTTCCGTGGTTGTCATATTCCTTCAAGAAGTATCGTTTTTCAAAAAATAATCGAGTTGATATGGATTTTGAACACACAATCCAGAGAAATCCAGAGAAATCCAGTTTCAAATGAGAAATCAACACAATCATTTCCAAGAAGAGAAAATCGAATAGATTTTAATGAAAGAAAAATCCTATTAGAAAGATTCAAACCTTAAAAAATCGAAGAATCTGGCTAAATCTGTCATCAGAAGTTTAACTAGTTTTTATTATCAATTTTATTATTCATTATATAGAAATGCTATAATTTTCATCGCTTTTTAAGCCCGCAAAATCATTTAACTAAGATTTTTTTATGAGTTTTAAACAGGGGGAATATTCAGATAGAACATCGAAATAAACCGTAACACATCCACAGTTCTCTATTGCGGCGAAAAATTCGAAATCCAGCGGCGAATTTCTGAAGTACCCAGGGACATTCTCATAAATCAATCCATAAATCACACACTATAGAGCTTACCTGCGGATATGATTCATTCCAGCTTATATGACAGAGACGTCTATCAATCAATCTATCATGAAGGCTCTCATAATAGAAATACGCCGCCGCCCTTCGGAATCATCACATACATTTTGATTGTTTCATGAATTCTTTACGAAAGCGTCATAGGCCAAATATGACTCGAAACCTGAACTCCATGATACAAATGAATTACAAAATAATTCAAAATATACGTATATATTTTACAGCATGCTAAAACCTATTCAGATTCTCTATCACTATATGTATACTTGCTCAGGATACGATAAGCTGCTAACGAATCGATTATACTCATGTATCATTGACCATGGAGTATCCTGGTTTACAATGTTCTATCGGCTTCCAACTATTTCTGCTAGAGTCTACAAGATTCCATAAAGATACAAGGTTCAACAGAGAAGTTTATTAAGGTTTGGAAGAGTTTAGAGGGGTCTAATAGGGTCTATAACTATAAGGTTTTGTAAAGATTTACTAGTCTTAGAATTTATTCATATTTACATTTGCGATTGCGGTCTTGTACGAACGCAATACTCGACCTAACATACAGCAGCTCAATTGACAGTGTATGATAGCGCCCTCTATTTTTGCTGACAATTCTTTTCCAAAAAGTAAAACCATAATTCGACAGAGAATCATTTTTTCTATCTATTGATATCAATACCGGCTCCAGTTCCATCCAAAAACTAGAGAGCCAATCATGAAGCTTTTGTTATTTTTTCGATTTTTTTTGTCCCGGCTTCGTTAATCCAGGATAGGATCTCTACTAGTACCAGTTTTCTCTCTCGCTTATAATATCAGTCGGCAACGACAGATACAAATCGAAATATATATCCTATACGTAGGCATTATTCACTTTTTATGATTTAATCCTTTCCGTTTATTTTCAGGAGGATCAAGGGATAGCGCAGCAATTAGTCAGCTTCGGCAGACAAAGCTATGAACTTGTAATGAAATTGAAAAGAAGAAATTCAAAAAGAACATTAATCTTTGCCTTTATTTTACTATTGTACAAGGTAGCATTTGAGGATAAAATGCTAGTTAATCTAAACTTACTTCTTTCTTCATGTTTTTTTTGTCTTGCATTTTAGTCATTGAAAGAAGATCGTATAGGTAAAATATGAGTTGATACAATGCGAACAAACAAGAATAAACTTGCAGTTTCTCTGTCATTGCTCCGTTCTCTCTCTCTACGCTTAGTCATGGCTGTTTTTGTGTATCATATGAGTGTAATGTTCGCAAAAATAAACCTTGAAGTTCCATTTTTTCGGTTAAAAGTAAACAAACAAAGAAGTATAAACGAATAAAAAGAGACTTTTCCAGGTGACTACACTTGTAGAAGTCAATACATTTATTGATAAATTTGTTGAAAATAAAGATCAGCTTCCAAAAGGTGAATTCGATCATGCATTTTTTGGAATGTAAGGCGACTGATAAATCTCTGCTTACTATGGATTATTCAATTTTGTATGCATATTAAGATCTAGAAAAGCATCCATGAAAATAGGACAATGATGAAGATACACCTTTAGATAGTAAAACTCGACAATTCATCCGATGAAAATGTTTTTAAACGTTTTTGTGCTCTCTGAAATTCATAAATAGAATAGTAATGGATATTATTTAATAGATAATCCATCAAAAAATATTAGGAAGGAACAAGAGTTATTTCCGATGAGTTAAAGACTGATGTTCATCTAGCAGATGGTATCTTAATTGTTAAACGATTGATTAACAGGACTGTCTATGCAAAAGAGATGGTCAATCATTTGATAGTTATCTGAGAGAATAAATTGATTTCTTCATACCTCGAGATAACACGAACAAAAATATCGATTAATGAGGATTACAGTGTTAGCGTAGATACTGGATGTAAATAGTATAATCCATAGGTTAAACTTGCGTTGATTTAAAATAGAATCTATTGATTTATCAACTATTAAATGTATTTTAAAGTACATCATATTCTTGATTCAATCTCAAATGTGTCAAAAAAGCATTGAATACAAAGAAAAATCATTACTTGCATAGGAGAATCTCTAAAAATTATTCGTTTGACTCGTACTCTGCATGTTCATCTTTATTTCTCCGATATGTCGTTCGATTTGATTTCTATGAATTGCTATAAAATTATTTCTTCTAAATTAGATTTGTCAAGTTTCATAATCATGATTCTCCGTTTTCGAAACATTATTTGAAAAAACATGCAGAATTGTGTTTTCTTTAAATTTATTTCAATAAAAGCATAGAATTACTAATTCAAAACTAACCATTTTAATCTTATTTTCAGAAAATAATGAATGCTCAAACATTTGTATATAATGAAAATTTCTATAAAAAACTTGCTTTAACAATCGCGATTATTCGTGCAACACCGTCACATATGACACCTAGAGAATATACAATACAGTTACAAAATATTTTACGACAAAATAAAATTCGTCAAGCTTCACAATACGAACAAGTTCTATTAGATGTTCGTTCACTTCGGAAATCTCTTGCAATAAAAATACCAATAAAATGTTTTGATTTACTTGAATATCATAAAAATTTTCTTCAAAATATTTTCATCGTATCAACTGAATTCCATATTGAAATACAAATAATTATTATTGAAACTATCGATCGAATATTTCAACTAATAAAAGAAAATTTTTTCCGAATACAGCAAGAGAAATTTGATGCTGTCATTAAACAAACAATTAATACTGTTCTAACTTTTGATATTGTACCAAATATTCAACAACATTCCATTCAACATATACGACAATTTATTGATTTAATATTGATGCATCTGAAACAATCAACGGCGATTACTAATGCACAAGCGTTTATCGAACAGATTGGTATTTATTTTGAATTTAAATGTTTGCATTATGGGTTGCGCTTTTCAGATCGAATGGAGTTCTGACGAGTCCAATAGGCTACGCCACAATAAAAACACGCATCAGTTTTCGTATATTTCTTCTTCTATATTTGAAACGGCATCTAGCCAGTAGTTTACACATTGACTTATAGGTTAACCTACGACTTTTCTGTCCTCATCCGTAGATACTATTCTTTTTATCATTTGTTATTCTACAAAACTACTGCTATTTTTTCTATGACTTTCACATACCATGAATGTCTCAAATAATGATGTATTCAAAAGTAATGGAAAACAAAGAAGACCTTGTTGAACTATTCCAAATAAATATATGATCTTTCTTTTTCTTCTATGATTAATCACAGACCAAAAGAACTTCTTTGTGTACCAAATAAAGTGATTGAGATTTGTTGACCGAACTAGCAGATTTTATGTTTCATTGGATTTCTATGCATGACTGCCCTTCTCTCCTATTATGATTTCAAGGAAAAAGATATTTTAATTCACTCTAAATGAATAGAGTAGCCTTGAACTTTCAATCAATAGTTGATTGGTTCACTATGGTGCCACTTTATTTCATTCACTGTCGAGCAGATAAGATCATAGGACAAATTGACACGTTCTATTCTCTGCTAGCTTTATCCTGCTGCGCAATAAGATAGAAGATCAGCAAAATTATAGGTTGCTTTTTCTGCCTATAAGCGTAAAAGAAATTCATTCACTTTTTTCTTCTGTGTTGAAATTTCAAGGTAAAATTCGAATAGTTGCTATTGATTAGAGAATTGTGCGATCGATCGAAAATTGGATGATGCATGAGAGTAATTACATAAAAGATACAGTTGCAGTACTCTTGATAGAAACTTTCTTAGAGATTCCTATAATTTAGTTAAGGTTTAAATGTTTTGTTCATCCGCCTGATCAACTCAAGTATACTTGAATCTAGTCATCGAATATCAGTATCATTCTGGTGTGGAACTTTCTTTTTCAATTGAATTTTTGGTGATTCATAGTTTTTACGAATTCCAAGAGAAAGTTGCGACTAAGAATAACAGCATTTTTATTTGCTTTGGATCAAGCTATGAATCATCGGCCGCTTTCGTTTTTATTTTAGGTTGTTGTCAATCTTATTTTTTAGTCGTTTTCGAACGCATACTTGCCGAATTGCTCGTCTATTTTGATAAAACCGATTTCGATTCTACATATGGCTTAATTCTTGTTGATATTCTTCAAAAATTAATATCATCCAATGGTAGTACTACAGTGCAGCAAGTATTAGATAATGAATCGATTCGTCAACAATTTCATGAATTACTCTATACATGTTTAGCTTTTAATAATAATGATAATTCATCATTAGTTATTTATCTTTGGAATATTTATGGACGAATTTTATAGCAAAAGAAAAACTTAGAGATCTACGATTTGTACAGGTTTATATATATATATATATATATATGTGTGTGTGTGTGTATAAGATATTTGTTATTTTTGTGTCTTACAGTATTCGAATAGTTCATTTTTTAAATGAAGTGTTTTCCTTTATACTTGTAGTACTCCTAATATCAAGTACATAATGAGTTGAACGAACGCGTTCAATATAAAAGGCTAAAATGAAATTTTTAATAGCTTTTAACCGCCATTTTTACTGATGACATCCTTGAATACATACGTATGTAGAACAGCAATGAACTATTTCTTTGTTAAGAGCCATTTATCAGGAGGGATCGAATGAAATGTATTCCTGTCCAATTGTGAGATTGATTAATGTAAGAAAAGAAAGATGATAGATGAACGCGATTGTTTTCATACCCCAGAGAGTGAAGGAAGTATGCTTATTTAGTATCGTCAAGGATCTAGTACAACATATAATGCTTGCATTCTAGTACCTGTTTTTTTTGTTTATTAGTCAAGTAATTTATCTATCCTTGGGCTCAATGAACTCTACGTGCTTCTTCCGGAGAACAATCGACATATTTCTCGAGCTTACCATCATATACAAGACAGAATTGATTAATCGAATAATGTCTTCTCTTGTCAACATAAGCAAACACTGATATCTATGTCTTTTCTGTTTCTAATCGAGATAAAAACGCTAAAAAGAAAAACGATACAATAAGAATTAAGTACCTCCTGCTATTTTAGTCTAGCATGCACACAAATATATTTATATTTATGTGTAGAAGCAACATCTGGTCATATCACAGACAATTTGTTATTACGTCATGGTCTTTCCTTCTTTCTAGTAGATATATGTGCGTGTCTATGTGGATATTTAGAGTCTATTGAGCAGTGAAGCAAGTCATTCACCCACTAAGCTACTAACAAATAACAAAAACGTCATGATTCTTACTCGTCCACATACATACATACATACATACACTTACACATTTACAGCTCTCCTTTTCTTTTCTTTCACTCTATTTGGTCAAAAATAGAAAGACTGATTCAATGAGAACAAAAGAGGCGAAGAAAAAAGACGAGAAAAGAAACTTGACCGCCTATGCATCAATGGTAGGTGATCGATTTTGTTGAACAATAGAAGCAGTTGTGTATGTCTGCATTGTCTATGACACAATTTTTTTTCAATTTCATTATAATGAATAGTGGCGCTTCGATTTTGAAAAAAATAAATGCACACACATGCCAGCACGATAAGGACTGCATATCGTCGCTCTTTCTCTCTTTTCTCTCTATTTCTTTCGTTTTGTTCTACAATATTTACTCACAGCGAACGTTGAAGAAGGAGAAGAAGAAAATAAGAGGATACATACAACGATTACTCGAGACGAAGGAGAAAAAAGTTGATGACCTGTAAGATCGCGTCATCTTCATCCTGACTACCGATGTTCTCTTTGTTTTAATCGTTGTTACTTTTCTATAGCATTTATCAAACAATAACTGAGCTCAACACCTCTGCATCATGACTATTGCAGGTAGTTAGTTATCGTTTATTTGAACAAGGATGAGCGTTATGTTGACGATTGTGTCATACATATATAAATGTCTATACACAAACATACATTTTAGATCGGTTGCATGGGATGAATGATGTTATAGGACAAAAACCATTAACTTCAACGTCACCAGTCGCTGACTTTAATTCTAGCGATGAGGACAGGTAAGTCATTCTGAAATGAAATTAAACTTGATTGTTTTTTCCAATATTTTCTTTAGTTGGTTCTTTGATGAATTGAGTCGTGACGACGCAATAAGTACATTGCAAAATCAACCAGATGGCACATTTCTTGTACGTCCTAGTAGTACAATAAAAGGCGATCTTGTTCTTTGTGTTAAGTATGTGAGATTTATTTTATAATGGAGTCAATATTCACTTCTTTGTTTTGTTATTTTAAGAGAAGGTTCAAAAGTTAGTCATTATATAATAAACGTATGCGAAGAAAATTCAACATCAATATATAAAATTGGTGATAAGACGTTCTCAAGTATGAAAGATCTTCTAAATTTTTATAAACAACGATTGTTAGATATAACGCCACTTGTTCGAATTGTATGTTGAAAGAGATTTTCAAATAGTTCTTATTGTTACGAATAAAATTTTTCTTTCTAGCATTCAAAACCTCGTGTACGAACAAAATATAATTTTGATGGCAAAGTATGAACATAATTTCATTTGAATTTCGTTTATTATTTGATTTTATCTTTCAAAGGATGAAGAAGATTTACCGTTTAAAAAAGGACAGATTTTAATGATTATCAAAAAAATTGAACCACTATGGTGGTTGGCAAGAAACAACCTTGGAGATAAAGGCATGATTCCAGCTAATTATGTTGAATATATAAGGTAGAGAAATTCGTTAATTTTTTGTTTCTTATTTTTTATTCTATTTTTAGAGATGATGTTTAAATTCATTTTTAATCATCGCAATAAAAAGTTTTCAATTTTTTATCTTTGTTTTTGTTTAATCTTCATATTTTTTTGTGCTTTGACGAAAAAAAACCAAAACGATACAGTGACATTTGTTTTTTTGTATAGAAATCTTTTTGTTTTTGTTTTTTTGAATGGATTTATGTAGTGTGCCTTAATTCTATTCAAAATGTTTCTTTTTTTTTATCAAAAGAAATATATTTAATTGTCAACTATATCAACAATGTCATCTTCAATTTGACATGAAATCTATTCAAAGTTAAACTATTTGAAAATGTCAATTGAATCGATACTACGCACTGCTATCGCATGTTAAAACTATCACAAGTCTGTCCTTTTTTTCTTTTTTGTTCTGTATTTCAATGGTATCTCTTCTAATCGCTATTCAATCATCATGATTTAATGGGATATTCTTTTTTTTTGGTTGCTCTACTCGTCCGATATCTTCTCAGTTGAAAATAACCGTCGATGTATATCATCGGATTGATTTCAAAGAGAATAACTCTTATTCGAAATACTTCATAGCATGCAAATATATATTGACAATGTTAATGATTCATAAATTTGCATTAGTTTTGAATGCATCTGATTCTTTTTATCACCGCTATCTCTGCACCACCTGCGCATTTGATAGGAAGTAGGACTGATTTATCTTTGAGCCTATACTCACCTTTGTTTTACTACGTGCGTGGGGGAGGTGCTCGCATTTTATCATGTCACCTGTTAGGCGATCATTGGTAATGAGTGGGTGTTCTCAGGATTAGTTTTCGAATAAAAGTATCTCAAAGAAGATTCGAGAAACACTTCTATACCCTATTATTTTTACAGTACCTTGAAATTCTTTATGAAAATTTAAAAAATTCTATTGTTAGCAACAATGTGAAAAAACGATATGTTGACATGTGCAACCTTCTTATTTTGACATATTCATGAGTTCAATCACCATCAATCTTATTATCTAATAATTAAATTGTCAAATAAGAAATGAGCCCTCTTGAATTTACATTTGCATACGACTGCTAAAAACTGAGTTATTTTACTTTGACGACTGATCTTCAGCGTCGTAACGTGAAATGTTTGGAAGGAGATTGTCTTTTTCATTATTTGGAGGCCCGCACGAAGCGAGCTGAAAAAAATTGGTCTTTAAGACTCATTGAATTATTCCGAAACACAGAAATCTTTAGTAAAAGGCGAAAGATTTTCTTGTGGTTGTTCCGGAATCAGAGTTAATTTTTCACTGAAACGGTAGGAGTTATATACGTTGTAGGACAGCAAAAGTTGCACAGTAGACATTTGCGCACGATAATGACTCATCGTCTTTTCTGCTGTCTTGTATTTCATTGGTCGACATTTCTTTACAGGAAGTCATGTTCGATTGTTTGGAAAATATAGCTATAATAGAATAAATAAGTTTATTCTATTCGTATTTGAAGAGATAAAATATATACAAATAATAGAGTTCATATATGAACTCGATAAGTGTAAAATAACATATGATAAAAAGTAAAATCAATAGAAGAAGTATGTACTATGAAGAAAAAAGACAACATACAATTCCTCGTCATAGTTCATTATAAGCGAAAAGAAGAATTACAAAATAAATGAAGAGAAATAAATATGAAGTCCTATTTTTTTTCTTGCTCTGACCTACTTCTATTCAAAATCAAATAAATATGGTCAAAAGTTCGACGTATCATCATCATGCTGTTCAAACATGAGCGCAGCAGAAGCAGGATATTCACTACACCACCTATTAATTTCATGAAAGAAATAAACAAAAAGTAAACTGAAGATAACCATAATGATGAAAGATATTTGAATAATTATAGGTGAAAAATAGTGTCCATTATTTTGTATTTTATTCACCGAAGAACTCGATCTTCGATCCATTTTAATCTGAAATGAATCAACAAACAATTTTGTTTTTGTGATTTTCTAAAACATTTCTCATAGAATAAAGAATTTTTACTCACACGCAGTTTTTGTGGTATATTGCTGATCCATGCTTGAGACGATGATCGAAGTTGTTCATCCGTAGATCGCATTTTTTTCAATAGTCTATCATAGCGTTGTATTGTTTCGTCATGTTCTTCTTGATGTATTGTATCAGGTAGATCAGATTTTGAAATACTCTCATTATCTTGTTTCTTATCATTTTCTTGTAGCGCTGAAGTAACAGATGTTAGAGATTGTCCACTAACAGGCAGAGTAGAAGAGTATTGAGATAATCGAGATATGTGATGAGGACTACGAACAGGTTTTTTAGAAAAAGAATTTTCTAAATGAGGTTTGACCAATGAAACGGGAGAACGCGATGGCAACAACGAAGAATTTTCCTTTCTAAATCAAAAAGACATTTAAAAATAAAGGAAATACTTCTATATATATATATATATATATTTACCTTTTGTTTATTGTTGGTGTATAATCTCGTCGTTGATTAGTATATTTTCTGATTGGCGACCATGAAGTATGTCGGTTTTTGTTCAAGTGCTGTTTATTTACTCGATTATATTCATCAGGAACAGTATATGAATCAGTACTTTTACTGGATTTCTGGCGAAGACGATTTTGTGAATATAATCTTGATGTTTGCTTGTTGTTAGCGTTGGGAGCGTTGGGCTCGTAGCGCATTGGTTTTATATAATGTTGAAATTGAGGCGAATGAGAGTTAATTGATACTATTTCAAAGAAACCATTGGGATCAAAAATATTGAATGTTTGGTCAAACAGAGACCGAGTATTAGAGAGAGATGAGCTTCTTTTAGCAGTTACTTCGGCAAGATATTGAACTTGATTGAAATCAAGACGTGTAGAAGGTTTTTGTTTCATATTTGAAGATGGTAGAGACGAGCCACAAGATATAGATGATTCATATATTTTCGGCTTTGATCTTTCGTCTCTATCTCGAGAGGTTTTTAAAATCAACTTCTGAGATACAGAAGAAGCCGATGGTTCACGATCAAAATCTTCAGCGCTAGTAATCTGTTGAGTTGTTCCTGTTTCTTTCTAAAAGAATAAATTGTAAAATGAAAAATGTTTTTTTCTCTAAATATTAGAATGACTTACGATCAGTTCAGGAGAACTGCTAGACTTCATTTGTGATTTATTTTGATAGAAAACTTTGGTTGGTTCATCTATTGTTGCTATGATTTTAAAGCGAGGTACAATTCTTAGAACAGTTGTTTGCATTATTGGTAATGATTGATCGTTATCCATTGGATCAACTAATTTCAAACTTGTTCGTGTTCGATCAAAAGTCGGACTTTGTATTTCTTCAGGAAAGACTGTAGGAATACTAAGTATAGCCATTGCTAGATGCTTTTATCTAGTTGTCAGCGTTTCTTTTACACAACAAAAATGATGTTTTTCTCTAATACGATTTATTCAACGTATTGTTATTCAAAAAATGCTTCAACATAGGGAAATTAAAACCATATAGATCGTTTTTGTTGTCATGTATTATATATTATGCTGCATGCATTAAAAAAAGAAATAAAATGGTTCTATGAGTACCACACTCAGCTGCTGCATTTCTTTTTTCTTTTGTTTTTGAATGAATATGTTGTAGATACTTTTCAATTGATTTCGACTTTGTGCTATTTTCAATACGTGATCTGAAACCGCATGTCACATCTGTTGTTATTTGGTTTTCATTACATATCAGAGCTATTTTTCAAATGCATCTTTGTTGGTTTACAATAACAATTCAATCAGAATGATTAAAAATATATCGATTGTTTTTTCAAATCTTCGTGAAAGTTGATTTACAGAGAGAAGGTCCCCTTGAATATTTATCTTATACTTACACGTTTAGTCTTCCATATTAATTTACGCTTAGTTATAAAAAAAATTTCGCCTGAGAAACCTTTAGAAGATGAACACGTATTTTCAATAGTTTTGCAATAAAATAACATCGATTTAAAAAGTATGTGATTGTAATTATATAAATTGATGTTTATTATCTATTTTTCTCTTTTAATACTGTTATGGAAGCACAACAGTTTGCATTGTAATCGTAGTCTTTTCTAGAGAATTTCTGAGTATTATTAAAATGTAGAAACGATTCTTTCTTTTATGTTGCAAGACCTTTTTTCTCTGATGATTTGAATTTATTTTGTAGTAAGTAGATCCTATGGCCACAAGAGAATGTTTCTGTAAAATAAATTTACATTTTGGAGTTTTGTGTTGGTTTTACCAATAAACAGGCGTACAGATAATTCATATGTAATGCACAAAATAAAAACGTTTTCTTCATAAATAAAGTTAATTCTTTATTTTCATTGATAAGATCGATTGTTGCTTTTGTGATTTACTCTTGAAATAGAGCATCAACTCGAGTATAAGCAGATTTGGCAAAGACGTTCCATTCGGTCTTCTTTTAATGTTTTTGGATCGATCATACGTCTATCGTGCCGAATCTGTACTTCGAAAAAAAAGATAAACAGAAAAAAATGCAGACTCATGTACATGAAAGGAATTGCCTAATTTTTTGCTCTCATTGAATGCAGTAATTCCCCGTTTCGTAGTTGTTTTAGGGCGGATAAATGCTGTTTCCTCTGGTCAGAAATGATCGATCTCGGCATGTATTTATATGATAAATACTAAACAAACAAAATGAATCGGAAGACATGTTTTAATCAAAGAAAAAGGAGAGAAGCCACCAAATTGGATATTTTCACTCAGGACACTTTATGGTAGCAACCAAACGAATAATTTCAGTAAGATTTGTCGAAATAAATAAAATGGAAGGTTTCCGTTTGAGAATAATTTCTATCTTTTTTTTAATAAGAGTGGTGTGGAGGAAAAACATGGCTAACGATTGTTAATTATAATATTTTGTAAATAGAGAGTATTAAAATGTTATACTGAAGAAAAAGATTTTTTTTTCTCGAATGCTATTGATCATCGCAAAGTAGGTCAGTCCAAAAAGCAGACCACTTCTGTTTTTGATATTTATATGCATAGCAATGTTGTTAGAAAATCAGTTAAATTCATCAGATCTTCTAAATCCTTTCATACAACAATCATAATAGTAGCCATGAAATACTGTTTTGCTCGATAATATATTTACAATAGACAGAACAACAACAACAACAACAACACTTAACCGATTACATTTTTCTAAATAAATTGTATAGAACAATTGAGCCACTACCATTGTCTACCAAACACACATAAAACAACATTGTTGGGCGTACTAGATTTTACTATTTCACTTCGATCTAATGATATTGTCTGTGTATTGTGTTTCATATCCTCGCTGTAACAGACAATATGTTAATCATTTGTTTATCTATGTATGAATGTATTTTACTGTCGTACTGTTCTATTTTGTTATTGAAATTTTGAAGACGAAGTACGAATACGAGTGTTCTATACACATCAACGTCCTGATCGATAATAATTTTATTCGATACATAAAAGGAATGATTTTTATTTTTACAAAAAATTCAAGCGTTTATCCGCCATCATTTGTGATGGCTTAAATATTGAGTTTCAATAGGATCAACCCATTGTGTTACATCCCAGGGCGCTCGAGAAAACGATGGTGGCCCTAAAATAAAAAGCATCTTTGTTTTTTATATTGATGATTGCAACGAAATAAAATTCACTCGGGCGCGGAATATTGGGAGACGCATGTGGTCTTGGTTGATGCACATGTTGATGATGGTGTCTATATTAGATTGAATCGATTGTTTCTATGTAAATACAATTCGGAAGAAGAAAAAATGATATACTTACTGATTTGGATTGCGAGCACGAAATACTGGTGCTGCGGCATTTTGTGGTTTTGGTTTATTGTTCATTGTTTCAAATAAACGTTAGGTTTTATCCACCTTCAAATTCAAAATCTAAAAACGAATGAAAATATTGTTCATAGAAATAATAATATCAAATGATAGTAATAACGATTTACATTGAAGCATACTCTATAGAAATATTGTAATACTCGATTAATCACGTGCATTTATGCATAAATATAAAACGGAAAAACAGAAAAATAAAACAACCAATTTGTACTTTTCATCCCAATCTATTTACACGACTTTTAATCAGTCAACCGAGCGTAACATGACTTGATGTATTTTTTCTCATTTCATGTAATTATCTACTAATTAGTATAAATCTGAATCTGACGCAGATGATTCTTGTATGTATTACTATTATCTACGTAATTCTTGTTCTACCGTCTAAAATAAATCCATTTTCATCACATCTATAGATTTCATGTCCTTTTTTTACGAGTTCTCTTTTAAAATTCCGAATGCGGAACATTTTGTAGTTTCAAAAAATCAATTATTACTGATATATTAGTTATTCGTTTTAATAGGGAAATCATTCTTGAAGAAAATTCCTCGTCAAACAGTTACACTTCTGCAATACTTGCACGTGATGCTATTTCGCTTACTGATACATCAAATTTCCCAAGTACATTCATTCTTCGAAACATCACGTCCTCACAATTATCTGATGTAGACGTGATTCATACGAATGTTATTTCGTCACATTATGAAATAAAAGCAGAGTCGTTGAAATAAAACGATAATCTTCTGTTAATGACGTAGATGTTCTTTCTATTAAGTAAAAAAAACATTACAATAGCCTATCATTCCATAAAAGGTGCATTGAAGACCAATTTTATTCTAAAAAAAGCAAGCGAAATTTCAGATGCTCTTTCTTAAGATGATCTAAAATTAGCTGTAGCGTAGAGAAACAATGGTTTCCACATATCATCAAAAAACAAGAGTATCAGTCGGTCTCATAAAAATCTGTTTGAATTCAAAACAATGTTGTTTACCGACGAAAATAGTTGCCGGCAGTTTAACATAATCTGAGTAAATAAGATCAATTCACAAAAAATTCGAGAGGAATAACCATATCATTCATGATAAAATAGTTTTTCAAACTTCTGATTCTCATCATTTCGAAAAGATTGAAAATCTATATATAAAATTCATGAGCAGCATTATCCTCACCATTATGATTATACGCCAAATGTCAGTAAGTTTGATTAGCAAATATAATGTTGCATACATAAAATTAAAGCATCATGATATAAACTCTACTCCGCACTTGAATATAAATCTAGCTGAAGCATTAGATTAAGCAATTCTGTTGAATATCTAAATTTAGATGCACATAAATACCACTCTGAAAATGATATACTGTAAAATCATGTTCTGTCTAATAATAAATACTATGAATGAGTAACAACAATGAAACCTTGAGACAGGATCTTCATAATTATTTCTATTACAAATTCCATTTAATCAACTAAGCATATGATACAGGAACTTAGCTGCAACTCCGAGCGAGAACAACAAAAAGAAAGTCACATTCGTCATAATTTGAAAAATGAAACCGTCAGATTTAATATGCTATTCGTTTCCTATAGTCCGTTTGAGGACTTGACGTTGCATTCTTGAACATCAAATGAAAAAAAAAGATATCCTATTGGACAAACTAAATTTATAAGTACCGCTTAAGAATTTTACATAGAGTTGAGTGTTGAAAACATAAATAATGAGTCAACGATATAGCAATATTTCGATGTTGCTCGACTACATTGATGACTTCGTATCAAAGGCAATATCAATAAATTCATTCATCTTTATTTTCCCTCGATATAAAATGAACTATAATAATATATAAGATAAAAAACAATGTACAAATATTACTAATTTACATAACAAAGGATATAATGAGAAGCTACTAATTACAATTTTTCAGCTAGTTGCCCTTGTACTTTGCAAAGTAAATCTTGCATTCGACGAAGCTAAAATAAATCTTGAAGAGGAAACAATAATGAAAGAAAAATAATTTACTTCATTGTCTTTTTCTTGAAGTAATTTTCTTTGTGGTCCGTCATATTTTTTTAATTGAAGTTTCTCCAATCGATAATTTTCATAATGAAATTCATGTGTTACTTGTTGTAAATCTTGCATATGTATTCTAAAAACAGATAAATTAAAAAATATCCTGTTACCCTATGAGATTAACTTTTACATTAACATATTTCGAAGTTTGAGAAAATCAGAATGATTAGAATTTTCGATATCAATTAAACCCCATGGATATATTCGTCCATAAATTTGTTTTCCTTTAGCTTCAAAGCATTGTGTCGATGAAATAATTGCAAACGGTAAACAGCTTTTCAATTGAATATTTTTTTCTTTTAATTCTTCGTCTTCATCTGCATCACAATCAGGTATTTGATAGATTTGAATATGATGACCATGAATTTGTTCAATAATCTAAATATAAATTTGTTAAAAATAAAGATCGTATCGAATATCGCGTGATATTACATAGTATATGCTCTGTAATGCCTCAGGAATTTATTTTCGTAGATGAAACGTTAGCATCAAGAAACTTGCATAAGATGAATTCCTTTCTTAATGATTTTTAGACATGAAAAAAAGCGCTGATGTATATTGTTGTACTTAAAAGACTAAACCAGGATAGAATTTCACTACTGAAAATAATGTCGCATGAATGATTTTGAGATTTCGTTTTTCGTTACATACGTTTTGTTTCATTTGAATAAGTTCATCGGATGTTAATGCATCAGCTTTTGCAATTATTGGAATGATATTTACTTTATGATGTAATGCTTTCATACATTCAATATCTAACGGCTTAAAACTAAAATAAACATCGAAAGAGATGAGTTGTGAATGAAATTCTCTCGAACAAACCCTCGCGCTAATGATGAAATAAAATAAAAAAGACAATGAACACGATTATCAGATATGCTTCGACGATTAAGGCCACTTTCAGCATCGAAATAAAGCTCAAATTGATTATCAATATAATTTAATATTGATTTATAATTATCAGTACAATTGATACTATCACCATAACCAGGCGTATTAATTATAGTTAAGCGCACTTTAACGCCGCATTCTTCAATATCAATAGTTGATGGTTCAATTTTGATTGACGAATAAAGTTGTTCTATTTGTTTATCAGCAAAAAAAACTCCGAAATAGCATCGAAAGCATAAGAAACTCATTTACCTGGAGCAGCATTCGAAAGATGTTGTTGCGAATGAAGATCCCTTTGAAATAGACTATTAATTAATGTTGTTTTACCAAGTCCACTTTCACCTATTGAATATTGAGAGAGGAAAAAACATTCTAATTGTGAATAGAGATATTTTATTTTACCAACGACCATAAGTGTAAGTTCAAAACCACGTTTAGCTAGTTTACGATGAATTTGATTCGGTAAATTACCAAAACCAATAAAATCTGTTGTTGAATCTGACTGTTGATTCTAAGTGCAGGGCAAACAAAATATTGAATAATATTCAAACACTGGTAGACAAAAATCCAAAGGTTACTCTAGGGTGATACATTGAAAAATTGGTTGGGAATATTGGAAAGTAGAGACTACTGAAAGGATATGCTTTTTTTTGAGTCCTCGTTTTTCAAGAAAACAATTAACTAAGGAAAACAGATTAGTTATTTAGCATTATCGGATGCTAGAAATGAATGAATTTTATTTTACCGGGACTTTTCTTCGTATAGAATTATCTTTAAGAAGACTCATAACTTTATGATAAGTTAACATATCTAATTATTTGAAATCAAAAGTATTTTTAGCGATGACAAGAATTAGAAATCGAATGATAAGAAATATGATAACAGAAGGCGAACTAATAAGAAGCATAACATCTGCTATTCTTCATATTTACTCTCATAGATATGATAAAGAGGAGAGTACAATCGCATTGAGAATATTTTCAATTTATGCAACAAAAAAAAATCTTTTTTCCTCTCCGTTGATAAAATTATAGCAAATAGTTTTTAGCATATTCCACTTTTTTCTCCTTGAATATATCTGCATACTCTATGTCATATTTTGCCGATTAAAGTCTACATCATTCACATTTTTCAATCTCATGTCAATAAACTATTGTGACATTTGGTAAGTGTTTTGTTTTCGTTAAACAAACAAACATGAATGCTTTCAATGTATCGACTATACATAACTCAATGGTGAATGACAAAACACTTGGTGTCGTTCTTTCAAGAAATGTTTTCTTTCTTAAAAACAACAAAGTATCATATTTATTCAAAGCTCATTTTCGCAGCTTAACGCACGATTCTCTCGGAAACTATAGTAAACTAAGCCGACAATCGTTCATGGATCGGTTGAATCACATGCATTACATCGTACATTTTCGTTTCGCCATCACAAGTTATCTAGATATTTATTAAAACTCACATTATGACTTTTATTCTGTGATTGAACACCTGCAGCTGAAATCATCGTATTGTTCATCAAATAGTACACGAGTTCAATCCGTTAGTTATAGTTAATTAACAGATGATTTTTGTTTATTTATTAGAAATAAAATAACGATTATTTTTCATGAAAACAACAAAATATGAATAGAAAAAAGAAATTTTTTTTATAAAACTTATCTTTTCCCGTATTCTATTTACTTTCTCTTGTTTTCGTATTGTCGAAATATTTCATTGGTCAATTTTAAATCAATCAAAGTTCATCGATAGAATTTAACACAATGGCACTGAACACTCACATACGCGAATCCATACATAGTCGTTTCTTTTTTTTCTCTTCTTTAGATGTTCATGAAAGTAAACATCATTCTGACGGAAATAATAAGTTAAAAGGTAAAAATGAAAGCGAATAGAAGTGAATTCATGAGAATTTTTCATTTGACTTTATTGACATAAAAGGTTGTCCGACTAAGCTGTTTGTTTTTTTTCGTACTTATTACCCTATGTAGAGAAAAAAAAAGACTTTTGCTACTCTACTCCGTAGGAGTTAGTTGCCCTACAAAATTTACTATACTTTTAATAACTTTTAGAATTCTGCAAGTAGATATTAAATTGATGCTGAATTGAATACATATTGGTAGACAAATGCAAATGTTATTCTATTTGTTTTTTCTTTCGTTTTCAGTTAAATCATGCAACACCAACGTCGACGTCCGCCTATGACACTTTCTCCTGTAGCTTTCAATAATAGTTCCAATAGACCTATGCGCCAATCCAGTCGAAGGTAAACCTTGTCAAATTGAAAATTTTCTATTCGTGATTCGATGATAACTGTTTGATTTCAATACAAAAAAAAGTCCGAATTCAAATCGAAATATGTCTCACGAGACTAAAGGAGTATATCACTACCGGTCTGGATAGGGCACTGATGGCCAGCGAGATAGTCTCATATAATGTTTATCGTAGGAAAAACCAGAAAAAAACAGTTCAATTTCGATAAATTAATAATTGAATTTCTTTGGTATTTTTTTAAGTGTGCCATCGACACCAAGTCAATGTTTTGGTTGTTCTCAACCGATGTTAAATCCATTTATATCTAATGTTCTCGATCATTTATGGCATCCGGAATGTGTTCGGTGTTTTGCATGTCGATGTGTACTTAATGAGCAATGCTATTCACGCGAAGGAAAACTTTATTGTAAAGATGATTTTATCAAGTAAGTGAAAATATAATATTTCAAAAAGAAAACATAACACGTAAGTTCTTTCTTTAGAAAATATATTCATCGTTGTTTCGCTTGTCAAAATCTTGTCAAATCAGATGAATTGATTCGTCGTATTCGTGCAGGTCGAATCTATCATGCTGAATGTTTTGTTTGTACGAAATGTAAACGTACGTTGCAAGATGATGATATATCAGAATTACTTAAAACGAATGATGCAACATTGAATGATCTTGAATGTTCATGTCAAACATGTTTATATCCTGATAGAGAATCGAATGAAACAAAGCCATTATCAAAATCTGATGGAAGTTAGTTTTAATAGATAATTTACTTTCTTTTCTTTTGCATCTACGTTGAATTGATTTTCTAGGTAAACCAAATGACAATGAAATTTCACAAACAATCAATGGAAAAGTATCACCTTCATCTGATACAACAGAACAAAAGTCATCGACATTAAATAATGATACTTCAACAAATAATAATCACGTCGATGAACAACAATCGATGGAAGTTGATGAAGCTCCTGGAACAACAAAGTCATCATTAGTATCACCTATAAAAGAACAATCATCACCAAATCCATCGGTGACTGTTGCTCCTAAAGTCAACGGTCGACAATCGAAAATTCGTCAAAGCACAGGTAGTAATGGTAGTAAACGTTCACCTGCCAAAACTAAAACAACACCAGTGTCTCGTCAAAAACAGACAACTGTAACTGAAAGAAAACGTCGTTCACCAGCTACGAGATCGAAAGCGGCAGCATCTAATAATCCATCGTCGTCGTCAACTGTTCAACGACGAGCAAGTAATCGTCGTACTGCAAAAACATCACGTTATCGTAAACGAAGTTTTTCAAGTGGAAGCGACGAAGATGAAAGTGACGATGAAGATGATGCTGATTTTTCTGAAGAGGTATTTTACTGTCATTTTAAAATAAAACAAAAATAGCTACTATCAAAGATGAAAACAACTTCTTGCTAAAAGCATATGCATGATTCGTTGCTTTAATGATATTTAGCTACCTACTTTTTTAAATTGATAAATAAACTCTTGATCACCGTTAATAAATCTTTATCATTTCGAAGGACAATATACAAGATGATGAACAAGAAAATGCGCGGTCAACAGTCGTTAAAAATAAACCAACAAACAATGTTGATGATAAAAAAGCTGAAACAGAACCAGAACCAGAACCTAGACCAACGCCAACAACTTCACAGCAAGCTCCACCACCGCCGCCACCACCACCAGCAACAACAGCAAATCCATCACTTATATCACAGGCTAAAATGTCTGAACCTTTATCATTACTTAGTGGACTTGCAGCAAATCCCATGTCAATTTCATCGATTATGAAACCTGATTTAACACCTAGTTTTATGCCTCCAAATTTCAATCCAGCATTTCCAAATCATGCACAATTTTTACCACCTGGTTTTCCTTTACAATCAAGACTTCCAATGCCGCCACCACCACCGCCGGCACCATCAACACAAAACAATCAGCCAGTTCATCTACCTGATTCAAATCGTTCATCGAATTCGGCTGACGATTCAGATAGTGATTCACTTGATCGCTCACCAAGTCCTTCGCAAATGGATATTTCAACAAATGTCGAGCCAGGTACACCAGCACGTCCTGTTACACCACCGAAAACTTCACGTCAAGCTAAATCCTCAACAACAATGACGACTACACAAAAACCATCAGCTCTTTCTTCATTACTCGAATTCGGTACATTACCACCATCAACTCTTGGTGATGTACGTCCAAATAATGCTCCAACAAATCCATTTCCATTTCCATTTGTTACTCCTGGCCCTGGTGTACCATTTTCACCTCAAGCAGCAGCTGGTATGGCTACTTTTTATCGTCCACCATTTGGTGTGCCGCCAGGAAGTTTACCACTTGATATGACTCAATCACATTCTAATTCATCGAAGAAAAAATCTGATACGGCGGATAATAGTGAAATAGTTTCACAAAATTTACTTGATGATTCATCTTCATCGCCATCACCTAAGAAGAAAGCGAAAGCAAAACCGCGTAGTAAAAAAGCAAAAACAAATAGAACTGAAGGTGAAAATGGTATGGATGAAGGTAATGCGTCATCATCACCACCACCACCACCGCCAGAAGCCAATAAAAAAAAGAGAAAAAGAAAAACTGCTACAACAGACAATACTAATACGAATGATAACGACACAAGTAATGCTACAAATGGCAATGCAAATAATCATCCACAGCATAATTTTCTCGCTCAAATGGGTCTTATTAATGCACAATTTATGCAACCACCACAACTTCCACCAACATCAGCAAATGGTAAAACACAAGCAGCTAATTCTCAACAAGCTCAATTAGCAGCCATGTATTCGATGGCACCACATTTTGCTGCCTATAATGCTTTTCCAGGTGCTTTTAATCCAGCTTTTGCTGCAGCTGCTTATGCTAGTGGCTATCCAAATCCGTATGGATTTCATCCTGCATTTACTGCATCACCCAATGGTCAACCATTTCCATTTATGCAGCCAACACCTACAAATGCACCACAATTGAATAAGTATGCTGTTTTACGTTTTTTTTTAATTCACAGAATCTTTATCTAAGTATTTTTGAGAATCTAGCTAGCAGATTTTCTCTCTTCAAAACGATCTCTTTTGATCGAAATGAATCTAACATTAAAATAATTCGTTGTTCATACTTAGACTAAAACGTGGATTTTCCATGAATTCAAAATATTTGTCACAGTCGACATAAGAGTAAAGTAGTTAAAAAATGTATGCTATATAAAATAATACTCAGTTCAGATTAGAGGAAATGGAAATAATAAAAACTTATATGCTAAAATACACTTTTTGAATGTTTTTATACATCTTTAAATATTATTTTTCTATTTGTAGTACATCATCAAATGAAGATAAATCCTCATCATCAGCTGCTGCACCTGAAGGACGACCAGTTAAATCACGAAAGAAAAGTACTGCTAATGGAGAAAAGAAAAAACCAGCAACTCCTCGAGCAAATAAGAAAAAATCCGTAGAACAACCTACTCTCACGGATAACGCTCCATCAGCAGAAAATGACTCAATGACAGGTATGTCAGCAACAGACCTAACATCACATGTAGCTACAACACCTGAATCGAATTCGACACCAAATAAACGACGAATGAGTAGCGCAGAAAGTGAAGATTTCGACGACGACCAACAACAATCACAAACAACAAATGGTAAATCTGGTAATGAATCCGATGGCTCAATGGACGACGGAGATCGATCATTAAATACTGCTTTATCATTATCATCTTCAACAGCACAAGAAAAGAAAGGTGCACGTACAACAATTAAGCCACAACAATTAGACGTATGCTTATTCTATTTCGATATCTTTTATTTATTGACTTATTTTAATTTTAGGTTCTATGTAAAGCATATGACACATGTTCAAAACCAAATAAACCTCAACGTGAACAATTAGTTGCCGAAACAGGTCTTAGTCTACGTGTTATTCAAGTAAGAATATTATCGTGTATGACTATATTCATCTATAAGATTTTATTGTTTCAAGGTTTGGTTTCAAAATAAACGATCGAAAGAACGTAAAGGAAAAACACCAAAGGAAAAAGATATGCCATTAGATGATGATGAACCTGGTGAAGATTCTCAACCACCATCTCCACCACCACCACTACCAACAACAACAACAACAACAACAACAGCGGCAATATCAGAACCAATAGCCATTGCTACTGCTGAAATTTAATAATAATCTGAATTTGTTTTTGTTTTCATGGCGACCTAAAACTCAACAATCTGCATACAATTTGTTTTTTTTCTTCTTCTCTGATATCTAATATCAATCTGTTATTTGTATATTTATGTAATTGGCTGATATTTGTATTATATTAGTGTAGCGAAATGAATAAGAAAAAAAGAAGATTTCATCTCCGTCTGGCAATAATAATTAGTCAAATTTGATCTGATATGTTTAACATTCTGCTTGTTTCTTTGCGCGTAATCAAACAAATTTGTCTTCTGTATATGTAATCTATAAGAATTTGTGCTTTTTTTTGTCCACTGTTGAATTTATTATACAACAATAAAATTAAATCCTTTTCATTTGATTTTATATATTACTATTATGTTTTTTGGTAGACGAAGTTGTTGCTCATTATACGATAGTATCAATCTTATTACTGATTCGTCGTTTTGGTTGATTTCATATTTGAAAATAAGAAAACGGAAGTATTGCGAAATTTCTTCACCGATTGAAACCTTCTGATAAAAACCAACAGAGAAGTTAACACGATTGAAAGTGTAGGTGCGAGTTAAATGGTTCTTATTTTTTTCTTATACGATCGTGGACGGCCTGTCGGGCTGTTTAAGTTAGCCAGAACTTGTTGATTGGATTAAATTTACTATGCAGAGCAAGTCTATATCATGGCACACCTACCTCCTAGTTATGTTGAATGAACGTATTGTGTCTGATTTCCTACTGATTCATTGAAGGTTATTGATATTACGGTGTGTGAGAAAAGGGAGCAATGGGACCAACATTCATACTCCTAAATCACCCTCTTTTAACAATTGTTGCTTGCTGGATTAGCCATTACGATGCTTCTATCTGTATCTTGTGCTGAGATAGTTGTTCTCCATATGATATTGTCTTATACTATATTTCAAAAGCAATATTGAATAAAAAAAAAGGCCAAGAGTCAATGTGTTTGATTATTCTTCATACTCGATATATTTGTTTAATGGCTTTCGTACTTGATTTACATTCATTATTTCATGTTGAGCGAACCAATCAATCATCTGCTTAGCACTTTGTACGTAATCTTTAGAAGGTGATGTTGGTGCCCAATGGAACAGACATCTACCACTCCCACATTCGTAAACAAAATCACCTGAAAATAAAGCGTTTTTTCTTGAATAATAACAAACAATACTTCCAGGTGTATGGCCAGGTACATGCTTTATTTCAATTACATCATCATCATCCCCGCCAAGATTTATTTGATGGTCATCAATAATTGGCTCACATTTTGTTGGTGGCACTTTATATTATTCTGGTATAAATGTTTTATACGGTGGCGCATGATAATGTGATTCATCAGACCAATTTAATGTTGCTGATTGTTCACCGTTGCATAAACCATCATACTCACCTTGATGAATAGGTAAATTAATCAAAATGATGTGCACCACCACCAAGATCAAAATGTACGTGCGTACAAATAACAACACATTCACAAGAATCATTCAATAATTCTAATTTTTCTAAATGCTTCTCCAAATTGCATACACCCAGGCCAGTATCAATAAGAGATTCACGATTTGTTCCGCGCAAAAGTCAAATATTCGAACGGTTACCTGAATAATAATAGTCTTCTGTTGTTAAATAGAAACCTGGCTCAATTAATCTTGTATTCAACCACGATGGGTGTTCTATTCTCTCATCATCCATAGTAGACAAATAATCCACCTAGCACATTTTTATTCAGTAAGACTTACTGAGAATTTCTTACATGCTATCGGTTTCTATAGAAAATCCATCAACAAGGGTATATTTATTTAGCTACTAAATATTATAGATGTTCATGGTCGCGCGGCAGATTCTCAGCCACGATGGGCATCTATGTGTCATAAAAAAAGGGAGAGCGCCCATAGCAAACTAATGTTGACTCATCGACACTCGTGACCGCCGTTGCTTCTTGGAAAAACAAATGATGGAATGATCTCATGTGTAGTTGTCGGTATGAAAATGAGTGTATATGTAAGGATAATAAACGCTTCCAACTCCATTACACCACCTAAGCTCATACTTGGTAGAGCACTGAAACTTTTCTTCAACTTTGTTTAATTCAAGTAAAAATATTTAAAACGTACCTCATATGAGATTCGATCAATAGATAGCAACATCTTTCAACAAGAGGGATATAGTTGAACATAAATAATTTATTTGACTGAAGTATTCCTGAACCATAAGAATAAGAATTTCTAAAACAGCGGCAATGCTTCTAAAAGTATTACTTAGAAATTATATTTCGGATTTAGACAAGCATGTAATCAGCGGCGTAACCAGGATTGTAAGGCCAATGGGCAAACTTCTCTGGGGTCGAAAAAACGGATGGGCGAAATGGGTAAGGTTTTCATTAATGGGCCAAAACGTTTTTGATTCAACAAAGTACTAATGACGTAAACAAAGCATGCATAGGTCAATGTTGAGGATTCTGTCTATATGTATCTCTACAGCACACATCGACATTTTTCCTACGAATTAGGCCATTTACATCTTGTTTTTTGTGTACTCAAAAAAAAAAGAGTACACTATAGAATCGGTCAGTGTGTCCGGCCGTCCGTTTATTCGATAACTCTTCACAATTACATTCGATTGAGCTGAAATTTTGTGCACAGAATTGTCTTATCAATATCTAGGTCGAGTTCGAAGATGAGAAGGATCCGTCAAGAAATGGCTGAGTTGTCGAAAAAATTGTCATTTTTGATCAGACCATCCCTGAGGGGGAGTACAGGGATTTTTCAAAAAAAAAATTTTCTCAGAATTATTCACAACATATATAAATCGACTCAGTTTTTAACGCTGATTCTAAATCTGATATTAGTTTTGAACTAAGTCATAGCTTTCTAACGAAACATCGCCTGAAAAACGTCTCAAAATTCACAAAAACTCCATCCAGAAATCAAATTGTCTAGTTTCTCATGATAATTTTCGTGTTCAGGCATTCCAGAATGACTCATATGTCGCATGCACTTTTTGCAGTACACATAACTCTCGGATGAAATCCGAAGTTTCCACATTTATTTCTTTATGTTTCCACTATATACATCATTGGATTTTCCTTTATCTTCTATGCGTCATTCTAATTATATATATATATATATATTTACATATATACATATGTTCGTGTATGTTCTCTTGGTCTGTGCTCTTGTTTCTCTTATCTTTGATCTATGCTTCTCTACCTGTACGTGGTTAATTTTACTCGATAAAGGTGAATTCGTGTTCACTCAAACTTACAGTTAGAATCAGGTTTGCCAGATTTTCTGAGAAGTCAGGAAAGTTTATGAAATTTCAAAACTTTTTTCTGATTTTGATACTTTTTTGTAATTTGTTGCTGATTTCAAACATTTTCAGATTGTAGTTTGACTAGTGAAATTAATTACGACTATAACTCATTGATATTATATATCCGTATTGCGGTACGTTCTTTCCTTTCTTAATTTTTTCTAGTTTCTGAGTTCTGCAACCACTGACGGATACTTTAATATATCAGTAAATTGTTGCGTTACTGAACTTAAGAATGAATGCTAATTATTTTTTTTGAACGATTTTGTAAACAGATTTTAGCTTCAAAACAATGATTGAAGGAATTTGAACCAAGGAAAACATGAAAAATAAAATGAAATACTGTGTTCTATAATCTTTATTTTTCGTAAACACAATTTTGGGTTTGGTAAAAGAATCCGACACTGCGTCTTTTGCTAGTTGTTTTTGTATTAACAAACAATTGAAGGCCATGCAACTGGAAATTAAGGAGATTATTCATAGTTGAATTAAATGAGTGCTCTCACTCACAGACCAACTAGTTTAAAACATGAGTTGCCAATAGCCGCCTATACAGACCAAAATGTTTAAATTTCAAAATATTTACAGTTTATCATGTGTTCATACTACGAAATTTCATCGACCCTTAGTTTTCTTTTTTCGTCATGGTTGAATGAAACACAAGTATTTACAAAAGGAGAAAGAATATCGCACATATTCAACAGCAATTTGACAGCAACTAGAATATTTTGTCTATTACCCTTATATTTAAAAGCATATTGTCTTCGACTTCGTAACATGTGCTTTTTAATATGCGTGATATTGTTTTTTCTCGTGTAAATGGTCGTGCTCCATCCTACCATGGCCAAAAAATGAAAACTATGCGTTGATGAAATTTCGTAGTGTGGGCACACAATAAACTGCGAGTTTCTTGAAACTCGAATATCGGTCTGTGTACGCTAGTGGCAGCTCATGTTTTTAATTAGTTTGCTTGATAGTGAGAGCATTCATTTGATCCTACTATGATCAATCTTCTCAGCGTACAGTACACGATCTTTTACTCTAAGCTATATAATGTTTGTATTGTCTTTCTTTACTATGAGATACGTTTGGAAATAAAGTATGAGTCGATAAAAAAGACAAATGAAGAATTTTTCGCAAGTAATTATGTCAACGTGGCAGCCCTTGGTTTGCAAAAAGTTACGCTTTCTGATTAGTTTCCGATTTTGGAGAAAAAAATTCTGATTTTTTAAAAATTTTGAAAACAAGAATTTCTGATTTTTAAGTTTTCATCTGGTAACCCTGGTTAAAATACCAGAAACGATTGTTTTCTCCTTATTTTCTAAATTTTTCACAGAAAGAACAATCAAGGAGTGCATGTGTGATTCAGACGGAAGAAAAGTAATAGAATTATTATCTAATTCGAAAATGAATAAACAACTCAGAAAAAAGTAAAATTGCAATGGGCAAAAAGTTACTAACAAAAGTTACAATGCACAAATCTCCAAATGAAATGGCAATTGCCCATTTGCCCCTCCCTTGGCTACGCCGATGCCATGATGTGTCGATTGCATACATCGTTTTATTTAAATGAGCATATGAAAAAAGATGAAATGAGAATTTCAATTAATAAAATCATCATTTCAGTTTTTGTAAATTTTTTATTGTTTCTTTTCTTTGTTGCGAAGTTTTAGTTTTTCTGTCATGCCGATGTGTGATAAGAGAGAACTGCTATACTGCTCTTTACTTTTATGACGTCGACCGCATAAAAACAAATTCCGTGTAGTTTTTTGTATTTGAAGTAAACAGGAGCATTTGCATAGGTTTACGATATGCCACTGCACGTAAAATTCATTATTATTTTTTTCTTTCTGTTCTATTGCTGCATTTTGTTTTAGAGAAAAATATTTGCATTGTTCCCTATTTAGACGTAGTATTGCGTTGCAAAAGAACTTGACACGTTGACTTTGTGATAAAAAAATAAGAAACAAATCAAAAGAAAACAAGAAAACAGGTTGGTAGAAAAATATTTGCCTAGCAGTATCGATTTTAGTTCTTTTGTTTCATTGTAATATCCAAGAAATGACAACGAACGAAACAAGTTTAAGACAATGTATTGAAGAACTTTCTGCAAAGAATACTGATTATAAATTTCCCGAACAAGCAATAAATCAAGCTGAGTCATTAAAATCTTTGTCAAGTGATTTATATACGGATAACATAAGATTTATTTATGAACTAATACAAAATGCGGATGATGCCCAGGCGAGAAATATATCTTTAACAATTTTGGAAGAGAAATATTTCATTATCGCTCACAATGGTAATGCACACGTTGTTTTTTGCCAATTTCTTAATTCTATATAAAAAATACTTTTCAAAACAGGATAGCTGGATAGTGACAATAGCAAAAATATAAATACAGAATCAAGTAGCAAATAATTCTTGTTACAATCGTAAGTTGAGCTATCCGAATGTGTAAAACACGAGGAGGAAAGAACTGCCAACTCATAAACATTAAATATAGAGTTAGATGCACTATTAAATGTGGTTTAATGTAGATAGAGATAACAGAATATTTTTCCGATATGGGTTTGATAGAGGACTGTTTTAACTAAAGAAAAGGCGTTTCGGGTTTGCTGTATGCCTACTTCCGATAAAACATTTTAATCACAAAAAATATCAACTTTACAGTTCTTTAATAAAGAACAGGTCAAAAGTCTATTTTGAATTCATGTGACAGAAAGGCGAAAATTTTTATTGCTACTTATGTCAAGCTAGGATATTTCGTACAAAATTGATCTTTTTAATGCTTTTTGACGTTCATTCTATTTCACCTGAATCAAGAGAGTAGTTTTTCAATCTTTTTTCGTATAGGAAAAGCGTTTGACGAAAAAGACTTAAAAGGTATATGTGGTGTTAATAATGGAACAAAAAAGAAGGATCTTGATAAAACAGGATATAAAGGATTAGGATTCAAAGCGGTTTTTGGGAAATCTGATAAGGTTATGATTTATTCTCATGGAGAATATTTTCGATTCGATTCTTCTTATCAAATCAAATGGAATAAGGAATGGGGAACTGATGATCAACAAACATGGGAAAAAGAAAATGATCGACAGTTTATTTATCCATGGCAAATTAATCCGGTGTGGACTAATGAGAATGAAATTCCGAGTCTTATTAGCATTTTTTTAAACCAAAAGAAAAAACGAATCCATGTAGCCTATGTCATTTTATTAAATAATATTGGAGAAATTAATTCAGCTATAAATCAATTAAAACAACAACCAGATCTATTTCTTTTCCTACGAAATATTTCTCAAATTACATTTTTAGCAGAATCATCAAATTATACTATTTCGATTGCTCGTGATTTAAGTCATGGTTTAAAACAAGTTTTTGTTAATAACAAACCCGATTCACAATGGATTATCAAACGTTTTGAATTAAATATTCCTGATGACGTAGTAGATAAATTATCGAAAGATACAAAAGCACCAGAAAAACTACGGTTTATCAAAAAAGCAGAAATGTTTCTTGCTGCGAAATATAAAGCTCCATCACCTAATGAGCATGGAGACATGATTAGTGGTGGTATAGAAAAATTACGTGAACAAGACTCAGTTCTATTTTCTTATTTGCCAACGAAAATTTTTGGATACAAATTTCCCGTGTTAATCAATGCTAACTTTTTAACAAATGTAAATCGAGAACAAATTCATACGGGTAAAATTTCTCTCAGCTTAGTTTTTCTAAAGCATTGTGTACAAACTCTTTTTTTATCTAGATTCTGTTTGGAATCAATGGCTATTTGGTAGAATCAGTGGTGAAATCTTTCAATGGATAAAAGAATTGGTTAACGATAATAAATTTCGTTCTCAAGCTTATCGACTGATTCCATCGGAATTGCACTCAGAAAATAATATTTTAACAAAACGGTTCAATGATTCATTGGCGGAAAATATTAAACATTGTAATTTCATTCGCAATAGAAAAAATCAATTATTAAGAGTACGTGAAAGAAAATATTTATTAACTGTTATTGCCTCAGTATTCTTTAGTCAATTAAAAGTGAACTTGTTTCGAATAAAAAAAATCATTAAGATGTCCCACTTTCCTATTGAAAGAAATTAACCGATAACTATCATTGTTTTCTCATGCTCATGCGGTGTTCTTTATAACAAGAGTTTGGTGTCGGAAGTGGATTTCCGAAGCGCACATGCAATGTATATTCGCTAGAAATGAGGCATGAGTATGTCGACAATCGAATATCAGCAAGCTCTTGACCAGAAATAAATTAATGAGAGAAACAGTTTTTCATTTACCGATAATTTTAAGGTTGATCAAGTCATTATGGATTCAACGTCAATGTCCAAGCAATCATCATTTATTAATGTCGATTCAATGCGTGAATATATCAACAACAATGAAAAGAATCCCTGCCAATACGGTGATGATCCATTTATTGATTACGATATAAATTTGAATCAAATAGGTGTGAAAACATTTACTTGGGATCATTGTATCGATATGTTTAAGTCAGATATATTTATCAAAACTCACTCAACTGAAGAAAATAAACGAATGATTGAATATTTTTTTGCAAAGTATCTCAAGATCGATACAGATAATGGCATGAATATTGATATTCAACGAATTCCATTTCTAATGGATCAAAATAATCATTTGCAACTAATCAAAAATATTTATTTTCCAACTGACACAATTGGTGACAATGGAACAATCGATTTTGAATATTTATTTGTAAATAAAAAAATAGTCACTTGGTTAAGTGAAAAAGCGCAACACAGTATAAAAAAATGGTTGACAGATAAGGGTGTCGATGAACGAACCGATTTAACATATCTACGTAAGACAATTATTCCGAATGCGGCTTCTTATATTACACAAGAAAATGCGATAAAAACAATAAAAATGTTATTTATGTTGTTTCAAAAGAATGTCATTACGAAAAAGGAACTTGATCAATTAAGAAAATTAAAATTATTAACCACACGTAAAACTTTAATATCAGCTGAACAATGTTTTTTTTGTGATCAATACAAACCACGATTACAACTTGAAGTATATTTAAAAGCAAAAGAAGATGTATTTCTATCCTTCGACTACGTCACAAATCATAATGATAGAAAAGAAGACGAAGATCTAACAGAATGGCGACGATTCTTTATAAAATTAGGCGTCCAGGAAGAATTACATCTGACCGTATTTGATCGAAAATTAACATCTTTTGAAGCAGAAGGATATGGATTTAGTGGACAATATCTATCATCAATTTCACCTGATAGAAAGCATAAAGTTGATGCCTTTTTTGGATTAACAACAATCACATTTATGCAGCATACACAAAGTAAGAACATCGATTGATTCGAAAATTGACAATTTAATCATGTTTTATCGAGCAACGTAGTGATCAATAGTAAGACGGCAATTGAGCGCCTATAATAAGAATTCCTCAGTATGAAGATAAGGATTTCAATGATGCTAAAACTAACAGGCTCAACGCTTTTTCTCATTTCGCTAACTTTTCTTTTCCGATAGATAATTATGAGTTTGCAAAATTCTTCTGGTCGGATGTGATGAAAAATCTCAATGCAAATATGTTAACACAAAAGATAAAAGTTTATTGGGGTCATTCCAATAGACGAGGTGCGACCGAAGGAACGCTATTAGATGATGCTGATTATATTAGTTGGTTTGTAAAGCATATTAAATGTATGCCAACCACAGTAAAAACATGTGAATTATCAAATAGTATTTTCGTTGATAACAAGGAATTGAAAGATCTGTGTGGTAAGTACATGTGTTTCCCTTCAATTTTACTACCGCAAGAAAAGACAAATTGGCATGGAATCTTCGATTTCAAAACGAAACTTTCAATAGATGATTATTTTGATTTATTGCAAAAGATTCGTGACGACGAAAACTATTTAAAAGATAATCTTGATCGGGTACAAATAATATATTCTCATATATTAAAAGAAATATATTATTGGTCATCCGATGAACGAAAAGCAGCGAAAGCACGAGCCAAATCGCTATATCTCCTAACCGAAAATGACCAATGGAAATTGACTAGTAATTTATACTTTTATATGGAAGGCCATGGAACAAATAATAGTTTAAATGATGCAATTCCTTGCCTCAAACTTGATTATAAAAACAGAAATAATTCACATTTACCTCAATTCTTGGAGTTATTTAATATCAAACAACTTCGAGTGAATGATTTAAAACTTGCTGACAAAAAATCTTCTCCGGCTGAACACTTTCGAAGAAAATTAATTGAAATTTTGCCATTTTTAAAAAAATGGCTTACAAATTTATCTTTTCCGTCTGATGTCATTTCGTTAGTGGACAAAAAAGTTCAGCAAGATTTTGACTTTATAGAATCGGATTCTTTGGAATTATTTTACAACCAGAATTTTGTTCACAAAACGAACGTATATTTTGACAATGGACATAAACAATTATATGTAACACGGCCATGGAATAGTGAAACAACATTTATAGATCTTCCTAATAAATTATGTCAATTATTAAATATACATGGATTTGAACATAAGCTTAGATTTTTATTAAAAGGAACAATTGAAGAGATCAAAAAACACTTTATTGAAAAGTCGATTAAAATACCAACCAATCAAGATATTGTTATCTTAGAGCCAGTTGCAAGTTCTAGTAACTAGATACATTTCTATATTATACGATACATTAATGAATTTCTCCATTTGATTTACACATAGATGCTCTAAAACAACCAAAATTGTCTGCAACAGCCACATCCGAGCCAAAAAAATCTGATTCCTCAATTAAAAATCAAAAAACAAATAGTAATAAATCTGAAATTACTCCGGTGACTACTGAAGCATTGGTCACTCGTTCAAACAATCAAAAAACTAAGCATGATACTTCTATAATTAACTCAACACAACATTGCCCATCTATTCTACAACATATTCCATTCCCACTTTATGGTAATTATGTCTTAATAAAAACTAATGATGAGCGTTTTTTAAGATAAAAGTAACGTGGACTTTTCAGCCATATTTAGTTTTTCAGGCACACATGAAAATAAAATAATATTTGCGAAATCTTGCTATTAGTTCGTATATTATCTATCTCGATATTTGTGTAAATGCATTGATCATGTTTTTTCCGTATTTTCTTAAAAATATCTATCGAACTTTTTTTACTATAGTTCCAAGTCAAGTACCAATCCAATTTATGAATTCACCAATAGATCAGTACAAAAGAGCAGTATCATCCGTTTGGATTTCATCAGAGGACGAACAACTTGATAAAATTGAATTAACAGATCTAGCATCAAATTCAGTATCTTTGGAAGATCCATTTAATGGAACAGAAGAATTTGAAGGTTCATATTTAAACACTGGGTATATTGGTGAACAAATGGTATACAACTATTTGGTGAATAAATATCGTTACCATCCAAATCCAGTAGCTATCAAATGGCTAAATCAAACCGGAGAAAGTAATTTACCCTACGATATTATATTAACCGAACCTGGGAAAACTCATTACATTGAAGTAAAATCAACACGAACACATACTCAACATGCATTTCCATTATCAATTCATCAAATTGAAACTTTTCTACGGGAAAGAGAAAATTATTTCATTTATCGAGTTTACATAGGCGAGAAAAAGCTTGTCATCTTGGATAATATTCGATGGCGTTTAACACAAAAACAATTGGCTTGTTTTCTAAAAATTCTACCAATATCATCATATCAAACTCCGTTAACAAGTAATTAAAATCAATATTAAATGAATCTTTGCATAATTAAACAAATTTATCCTCAATTGAATTTATTATGCAACAATAAAATGAAATATTTTTCACTGAATTTAATCAATTCATATCTTCGCTTTTTGCACAAAAAATGGTTGATGATCATCGCCAAATTATTACATATGACCAGTAACATGGGTGCTTCGTCGTCTGTGTGATTTTATATTGAAAAGAGCGTAACGAAAATATTGCGACATTTCTTCACGGATTGTAATCTAAGAAGAGAAAAATAAATGTAAAAAGAAAGAAACTAACAAATGAACTATCACGGATGATATCAGGTGTCTGAAAGTGAGCTCTCCTTAACAGTAGATGAATTACTTTCTATATGTCGCCCATTTTCAGTGGACGCTTATACGCATCATATGACATGATAAAAATGTACTCGATTTAAAGAATAAATAGATAATACCTGTCCACTATTTCTATGACGTATTTTAATATAAAATTCAATTGCTGCAACAATCATTGATAGAACTAAACCAACAGCAAGTATTACGAATACACCACCGATATTAGCAAAACCTAATGCTGAAGCTAGTTCTTTTCGTTTATCTTCTTCGTCACATTTTAAATTAGCTTCTTCTTTCCACCATTTATTATAATACTTTTGTATGACGCCTTCATCTTGTAGTTTAAGAATTGTATCACTTAATATATCTCGATAAGGTGAATCTAATAGAATAAAATTCTGTAACATTTCGATTTTATTCCCATTTCACTAGACTTACTTTCTGGTACACCGAATCCGTAACCTTTGGAATCAAGCAAACCACCAATTGATGTCAACTCACAATTTCTCATTATATTATATTCGCTTGTAGTTGATCTATACAAATTAAATTTTTAATAATTCATAAGTAAACAAGAAAACATACTCAATAAGAAAAGCATAATTGCCTTCTAATACTTTTTTGATGCCTTCAGTGCTTGATGCCACTGTAACGCTAGCATGATTAGCCGATATATAGTGCCACATTCGTTCATAGGTGGCAATTTTCGATTCCTATTGAAGAGAAAAATACTAGAGTGGACACATTATTCTTATATTTATACACGAAAAAAATTTTCCGTTGAACCACCACGTTGAACGCCATAAGTAATTTTTGTTTGTGATGCTAAATCTTCAGCATTTTCAATCGGCGTTTGCATACGTTGAACAGTTAAAAAGGCCGCTAACATAATTTTAAAAAAGAAGAATTTTTTTTTTTCTAAATTCTATAGAGCTCTAACGAACCGAGATTAGCTGTATAAGATGAAACAAGAATCAATGTACAAAATCCCCAAAGACAACTAATCATGCGTGTTGATGTTGCCACTGGATTTAAATCCGTACCTATGTTTTTTTTTCAAATGAAACTATGAAGCAAAACCAAAGAATTTTAATTTCTTCTGTAAAATACCTTGATGCATAATATTACAAATAAGAAACCAAAATGAATTAAATAATGTGAATTGATTTTCTAATTCATCAATAGTTCTTCGGCATGCATATGGACTACGCCATTCATATGGTGATAATCTTGCAACCACGTAGAGTGAAAAACTAACGGCTAATATAAAACAAGAAAAATAAAATCTGATGAAAGCAACGCAATCTCCTCAATCAACAAACCAAAGTAAGCAGCAATCATATATAACCATACATCGAAACTTAACGGTGAAAAAAAGCCGAATAATTTCGGTTTAACATGTTTTGCTTTTTTAAACAAAATATTGATGCCAAGTGTTAGAAACGGTTTTGTAAAATCAATAGCCTAAAAATATAGCCTCAAATGCAAGTTCTATTTGCCGAAAAATGAACTTCATTAGAGTTTGCTAAACAAATTTAGTATTCAAACATATCGATGCGGATGCTTTCATAAAATATGTCACAGAATTAAATATAAATATGCTTGCGTGACTAGTTATTAATGCAATAGAAAATACCTGTTCACGTTGATACGTGATTGTTAATCCAGCTAAACCTAAATCGGCTCTCTGACATGAGAAGAAGAAGAAAAAGGGATAATTAATTTTGTCCAAACAAAAAAAGATGAGTACTTACTCGATAAACTAATTCTCCTATGATACCATTCCACTCGCCTTTTTCATTCTTTTTCCCGAATGTTTTATCTTTGACTATTTCGATTTCATATGTAAAATTAAGTCGTTCAGCTAAATCAACTAAAATATCAATACAAAAGCCAACATATTTTTGTGTTCCATTCGTTGCATTTCGATCTAAATAAACGCCGAACGTATTGCACGAAAATCAGTTTTTATCGAAATATCTTTTTTCCTCTTACTCAATGTAACATAAGGTGGTTCCTAAGAGAAAAATGTTAATCAATTTTCTTTCAACTAATTAAAAACACTCATACATACAAGAAGTGATATTACTTTCAGTACTTGATTTTGTATTTCTTGTTTTCTTACTTCATAATCTTTTGTAAAATTACGTTGAATTTCAAGTCTATCTGGAAGATTTGATGACCAAAATCCATTCTAGAAAATAAGTAAAATAAAAAAAGAAACTCTTATCATATCATACTCTATTAACACCATCAGCGACTAAATCAACAACTTCAAATGATACGTCCGTTCGTAAACCATTTTCATCGAATTTTATTTTTCCTGTTATCCCATTAGCTTCAAACTAATTTAGAACAATAAATAAGAGTTCAAAAAAAGACAGATCAATTTTTGTTACTGTTTTAATAAATAGTGAAAATGCTGAACCATGTATCCATGGTTCTTGTGCACGGCACGTTAATGGTGTGATTATAAATGAATGTTGTTCCACGAACTTATTAACTGCTCGAGCAAATAAATAAACCGCATCGTGCATTAATGCTGCTGGTGCCTTTCAAAAAACAGACACAAATTTGTAAGAGAAAAACGATTTAATTTTCATTCTAACTCGTAATGACCATTCATTGTGGTGAACTGGAATATCTGCGCCGGGAACAGTTTTATCGAAGAATTCTCTAACAGCTGGATCGTCTCGACCGAAAAACTGTAGGCCAGTTATATTAACTAGTGTATATAAAATTTTGTCCCATTGAACGACTGAAACGTCCTATAGATAAATAATTCAAATGAGAAACAATGCAAAGAATATAATTATCTATTTTTATTACAAATGATGTCAATACAAAATCATAATAAGGGCCAATAAGACCAACCATTTTTGCCTGAAAAAAAGAATTTTTTTCTCTTTTGAATTCATTCATCTCTTTTAGTGTCCTACCTGTCGAAAAAAATCATGAAGATTATCAGTTTTTACGTCCACTAAAAACTTTGAAATGCCCGTTTCTTTCAATTGTAGAAGTAAACTATACCAATTATCGACACCCGGTCGACCCTGTAGCTGTCGTACAGTAATTGTCATTTGATTTTTATCCGATGATATTTTAAGTAGATCTTGAAGATAAAGTAAATCTATATTCCAAAACACAGAAACAATAAATTGATTTTCTTTCAACTAGTTTATTTACTCTTGGCATGTTCAGTAATAATGGCTATTTCATTCCATCGTTGAAATTTAATAAGATCACTATATGCTTGACTAGTAGCTGTATAATGCGGATAGACATTTATTGTATAATATTCAACTTTAGTTTGTGAATCGGGTGATGACAGAAAAAACGGAATATGTAATTGTCGTGTTAATGAACTAACAAATTCTAATGATGGAGTAAGTTGACCCGTGAATAATGCAGCAATGCCAGTTTCTAATTGTCCACATACTACGCTTATTTTAAATAATTAATCTTTTTTTTTTTATAATTCAAAAAAAATCTTCTTTCTGCTTATTTACCCAGTTTATATGCCGAAAAACTGTCGTGTGCTTCAACCACATCAATATGGGTGACGACAATCTTAGAATTTTTCAATATTTGTGATTGGTTATTGATTTTTGCTACTGAATATTCAAATGCTTGACGAGATAATATATCTTGATTATCAAATATAGCTCCTAAGAAAAACATGTTGCGGTACCATGATTAATCTATATATGTATATTGATGAAAAATAAATATAGTTACCGATACGGATCTCAGCCGGTAATGAAAACGTGCCAATTGAATCAATACAAGTAACAATGATAATGCAAATACATGAAAGTTTCATCCTTTTAAAAATTACTTTCTTTCATTTTGTTATGAAAGACAAATCATATTTCTTCTTTCCATATCATTCATTATGACAAGGAGAGAAATTCTTTATTTCCTTATTGGCAGAACCAATTTTCTTTCTATCATAATCTCATTTTGCATCAACATGAAATATGTCTCCTTTTATCATTTAACATCATCGCATAATGCTTAGTTTGCGTTTTCTTTTTGTCTCAATATTACTTCAATATGTCTTCTAGACAAAAGTAATATTTATACAAATGCTAAGAAATCATTTAACATGTTTTCTTAATGTATTATATACAAAGATAACATGAGTGTCAGATCAGCTCGGTTCTCTTCATAAACACATACCAATTATCAATAATGTACTTATTCTGTTGAATATAAATCAATCGATTTCCATAGTTTGTCTGTGTGTCATCATTTCTCTAAATGGTATATAATTAAAAGCGAAAAGAAAAAGAAAAGATAGTCTTCAAAAACACCTTGACAGTACAATAAACGATCTCATATTGATATTTATTATGATTTATATAGTGTCATCGTAAAAAAGATTTATTGATAAAGGCATAGTTTTTCTTTATTTATTAGTTAAGTTAAATATACATGTATCTATTTCAAACACAGTTCTTATTCAATTATTTCTTCTTCATCACTGAAATATGACGATTGGCAATAACGTTTTTTTTTCACGTGTGAAACATCTGTTGAAGCTTTTGATTGAGGATCCTATAAAGTAAAATATTGTTTTAAATAATTAGTATAGAAATTCGAGCAATGCCGGATTCTATTCGATGTGATAATCAATTAGAAATTCATCAGCGAATGGCTGAAATTGAGATAAACATGTAGACACTGTGTGGAATTCGATATAATTAAATGTCCATTCAATATAATTAAATGTACATTCAATACTATTGATGAGAAAATAAAAGCAAGCTCATGTACTAATAACTTTCCAACACATGTTCAGAGAAAAAAACAATCTAAAGCAAGGTCAAAATTAATTAAGATTTAATCTTTTGTTGGTTAATGATCGATTGTCGTTAGAAGGAAAAAAGTAAGTCTAATAGTATTTCTTATGCTCAGATTTCAGTCTTCACGAAAAGGATCTATTGTTTTTAAAGATGATTTACTGTAGATTAATGACTAGGTTGAGTGTCTTATTAACAGGAAAATATTCTGACACTATTATTGTATACATCAAACGGCATACGATTTCATATCGTTCGGAGAAAATGTGCTCTTCATTCTCGAAGATCTTATTTCATACTTTAGTACTAATTGAACATTCTATTTCGACGATACGATATCGTGTATCAATCGATGAATGATGTTACTACATTCTTTTTCTCTCTATATATATTATTTGGATGCGAACTCATGGAAATGTACAACTTGAAAATATGTACAGAGGTCGTAATGAGAAGATAGACATGTCAGATCTTGTTATTGGATTTATCGTCACTTAAAGTTATGGTTGTAATATTTCTCTAACAATGCTCTAATCCATTTTCTTTCTTCAGGTGAAATTTTTCCATGATGGCTATGAGTCCATAGCCTTCTAGAAACTCTTAATGGCGATATGATCTCAATTGATGTGAACTAAAAACAAGTATTCTATTATACCTGAGCCATCAGGATTGCTGCAGGTGTATCTTCGCTTTCATTTGAATCTCTAAAATGAATTATAAGAATCAAAACTAAGTCAACGTGTTTTTATAAATAGCTTACGAATCATTCGGTGCATCGACTTGAATTTTGTTTTTAATTTTCTTTCGTTTCTTAATAGGAACTATTCGATTACCTAGCGTATTTTTTGGGCATACATAACTTAAGTGACCCGTTTCCTATATAACAAAAAATACGAGTTCATCAATAAAGAAATATTCAAAAGAAAGTTCTCCTTCTTACGCCACATTCAAAACATTTCGTTTTATCTGGATATTCACGTTTTCGAATAAATTCTCTTGTACGACCATTATCAATTGCTAGACTACATTTCACTATGCGCCCATGTAACTAAAATCAAAGTTAGTTTTTCGTTCAAAATTCATTATTTAATTGCATACCTCTTTTCCATTAAAAACTTCTATTGCACGAATAGCATCATCTTTGGAGAATAATTGAATAAAAGCTACACCTTTACTTCGTCGTGTTTCAGGATCTTTAACAATGGTTACTCTAAATTTAAAAAGAAAAGTTTTTTCTTAAAATAATATCTAAATTGTTAGAAATCGAGTGTGTGAGAAATAACCATGTAGCTAGTATAGTAATGCATTGAGAATGAACTCATCGGAAAAGAAAACTATCATCGGTCGAAATAAAAATTAAATCTTACTTAACAACTTTTCCATATTCATCAAATAATTTATGTAGATCATTGTTAGTTAAATTAAATGAGAAATTCGATAGATAAACCGTTGATTGACTTGGAGCAGTTTTTACTGATTTCGAACTCATGTAAATAACTGGTTTAAATGCATCCAATCAAAAAGTAACATCACATTATTCGAAACAAGACTATAACAATTCTTATTTTACGTTTAATTTTTCATTATTCTATAAATTTATTTGTTGTTTATTCTACAAAATAAATAAATCGTCAATCGTATTAACCAATAAGTTTATTGATGAGTCACTCTATGAGGTTTTTTTCTACGCTACTCTGTCTATCTATTCATTTTCATTTGACAATGGAAGTTCGTCGTCGATTAGAAAATCAAGAAGTGGAGCAAGAATCAATATCAGAATCAGAAGAAAACCAATCAAATGATCCTCATCATTCATCTGCATCATCTGAATCTTCCGACAATGAAAAATCTTCTAGGCAATTATCAACATCAAACCAAAGCGATTGGAAAAGAGATAAAAAAAACATTGGTCTTTTGTTATTTCTTTATCTACTACAAGGTATACCTCTGGGTATGGCAGCATCAATTCCACTCATAATTCAAACATACGGTGCTAGTTGGTCACAACAAGCACTATTTTCATTTGCTTTCTGGCCATTTAGTCTTAAACTTCTTTGGGCACCTATTGTTGATGCTTTATATTTAAAACGATTTGGTCGCAGAAAAACATGGCTTATACCAATTCAATATATCATTGGATTTGTAATGATTCTTCTATCCTATTATATTAATGGTATTCTAGATGAATCAGCACCAATATCAACTAGTCATCATCCCCGTATGTTTATAAATATGAACAATTATTATTTATTTTTACTGCTATTTGAATTTTAGGTATTTATTTTTTAACATCAATATTTTTTGGTTTATCATTTTTGGCTGCAACTCAGGATATTTGTGTAGATGGTTGGGCTTTGTCAATGCTGTCAAAGTAAATAAAAATAGGAAAATAGTTTTTTTTTATTCACTAATTAATTTTTTGTAGAGAAAATCTAGGTTGGGCCAGTACTTGTAATTCAGTGGGTCAAACAGCGGGTTATTTTTTGGGAAATGTTGTTTTTCTTGCACTGGAATCAAAAGATTTCGCTAATCGATTTATACGTCAACCATTACATATGGAATTACAAATAACTGGATTGATTACATTACCTGGTAAAGTATTATTAAAAGCAGAGCGTGGGACAGTTTTCTATTGGCAGTTTAAGAATTTTTAATATAATATAAATTTTTTTCAAAGGTTTTCTTCTCTTCTGGGGTATTATTTTCGCAATATCAACAACATTAGTTGCATTATTCAAACATGAAGTAGACGAAACAATTGTTTCAAATGAACCGCACTTTGGCCTTGTTGACACTTATAAGGTTCTCCTGAAAGTTCTTCGTTTACCATCAATTCGTAGTATGGCAGTGATCTTATTAACCATCAAAGTATAATTTATAATTATGAATAATCTTTGATTTCAAAATTTTGTTTTGCTCTTCTAGATTGGTTTTTCTGCCGTAGATTCAATGACGGGACTTGAATTAATTGAACGTGGCGTTAAAAAAGATTCATTAGCTTTATTAGCCATTCCATTAACACCATTGGAAATTTTATTACCATTCTTCATTGCAAAATATACAACTGGACGAAAACCATTGAATGTATTTGCTAATTCACATCCATTCAGGTAATTTTACATGGTGTATCATTTTGAGTGGATCTGTATCTTTCGCTTTGCCTAACAGAATGAGTAATCCTAGAGTCTCATGGTCCACTCTATCAAACCTTCTGCACTAATAAATTTAAAGAGAAAGCTCATTTCAATTTTTGTTTTATTGTAATAGATTATTCCTTGGTATTATCATGGCTCTATTTGTTTATTTTACACCATCATTTCAAAATTATAATAAAACATTCCCTTGGTATTATTATGCGTTAGCTATTCTAATATTTAGCATACAACAAATATTTGTATACAGTATGTTTGTTTCTCAAATGGCATTTTTTGCACAGGTTAGCGATCCAAAAATAGGTGGAACATACATGACATTACTTAATACATTAACAAATCTAGGTGAAGATACTTTATTTTTTTTTCGCTTGATTAATTCAAATCAAATTTTGAATTTTTAAGGTTCTAGTTGGGTCTCAACAGCTGTTTTATACTCTGCTGATTTTCTAACATGGAAAAAATGTACACTAAGTGATGGTGGTTGTCGAACACCAGCTGACGAAAAAAATTGTGCCATGTTAGGTGGCATTTGTCGACCGTTTATTGATCCATATTATATAGCCGTAGCAATATCTACCATAGCCGGAATTATTTGGATTATATGGAAATATCAAACGATGATGCGTTTACAAGATCTACCAATAAGTTCATGGAAAGTACCCGATGAAAATCCGAAAAAGAAATCATTGTGAATTCTTGATTAGTATTTTTAATAAAATAATTATTATGAAACGTTGAGAGATATATAATAAAAAGAAAACGCGTAATACTAGAAGAAAGTTGTTTTTAGGATGAATAGCATGTTCCACTATCCATATTTGTTGTACTCTAAAAAGTTGTATTGTTCACTGAGGAAAAACAACTTCTAGCTTTTTTTTTTGTTCTGGATCATTTCATTTTTGCTTTTGTATTTGATCGTATTGTTTTGACTATATATATATTTTGTTATATAAATCACGGATGTTTAAAAGAAATCAAGCTATTTTATGCAATTGATGGGCACAATCATTTCTCACTCGTAATTAAAATCTGTTTTCGAAGTAACTGAAAATTAAAGCTATATAAGCAATACCATCAACAGTGAATATTTTCTTCGGCCTTTGATAGCATTCATTAATAAGTGTGCTCGGCTTACAATAATAAAACGAATGCAAACATAGATTCGCCGGCATACTACTGGTTATCTGTGTAGATGATCAAAAACTCACCATCGCTCTGCATCTGCAAGCGAAAACGAAGAATAGAAAGATTCGAAAATGTACAATTTAGCTCCTATGTGATCTGCTATTTTAATTTTAACATAATTCGAGTAGAGAGAGTGGGGTCCGAATATAAGTAAGAACGTTAAAAAAGTATAAGCACTCACATAAATTCATTCTCAGCTGCAAACACAGTTGTTACTTCACACCCTCAACCATGCGAAATAATCTTAGTCAAAGATGGATATCTTATGCAAATATATCAAATCGAAACGATTTTATCTCTAAAACATACTAGTAGTCAAGTTTTTTTTTATCATTCTGTACATTTATAAATTTTCATAAAATAAACACTTCTAAGAATTAAAAGATAATTTCAATGATTTGTCTTGAAATACGCTTCGAGACAAGGAATAATATCTTTCTTTCGACTCATTCTTCGACCTAAATGAGCAACTTGTCTTTCAATATTGACCTTGAATGCTTCTCGTACGACAGTATGTTCTAGTTCTCCAATAATAAACATATAATTTTGTTCCTTGACAATATCAACAACTGAAAAGAGAATTCCAGTCAAATTGCTTTTCTTCTTTTCATCAACCATTTCTTGAAGTAATCCTTCTTTACTTTCGAGTATCCTATTTGGATAAATTGTATACAAAAAGCTTACACCCCACTGTTGATCATTGAATAAAAAGATTTTAAAACCCACACGAAGAATTTGTCGCAATGAAAAACCACTTAAATCACTAATAGCTTCAAACATTTGATTCGCATACACTGCTGCGTTGTCGATTTTCGCAATGGGTAGAAGATAATTGACAATTGAACGATCTTTATCTGTTGTCGTAGGCAAACTTTGAAGAAAAATAGACTATTATTTTATTTCATCAGAAAAATATTCAACAGATTTTTACCGAAAATGAAGTGTATCACTAATAATAGCACTAACAATAAGTATTGCTATCTGTTGAGTTATATCTAATTGGTTATCGATATATAATTTTGTTATTAATGTTGCTGCACAACCTACTGGCTCAAATAGTAGAAATACTGGTTCCGGTGTTGTCAAATCACCCAATTTATGATGATCGATTACATATGTTACACGCATGTTTTTCAAATTTTCCATCGATTGTTGACCTAAGTAACAAAAACATGACGATTTTATCATACATTTAGGATAGTAACAGATGTTCTAACTTACTTTCATTATGATCAATTAACGCTACTTTAGTACCATTAGGTAAATTATCAGGTAACATATCTGGTTGTTCGATACCAGCTGTTTTAAGTACAAATTTTGTTTCATTATCAAGATCATTGAGACGATAAGCTTTAGCATTGACTTTAATACGACGAAGAAAGTCGGCAAAAACTAGTGCAGATACAACAGAGTCTGTATCTGGATTGCGATGACCAAATACCACCACTTCATTTGTATCATTCATTTGTTTTATCATTGAAGACTTTCTTTTAGTAATTAAATTTGCAAGTAAGTTTACATGTGGCGGACGAGTGGATAGAGTTAAATTCAATAGAACATGTATTAATAGTAAAATAGATTGCCATTTAAAAGATAACATTGCGCAAAAATCTAAGAAAATACTGATCATGTAATTCGTGCTAGTGATCTAAAAGTTGCATTCAATCACGGGTACTTCAAAGGTGCACATTATTTAATGTGGGACTACTAGAGCAAACAGATTGATAATATTCTGGTAGATCAAAATGACTCACTGGTTTATTTTTAGTCTCTCAATCCAACAATCATACAGAAATGAAAAGAAATAACTTACATTTTACAAAATTTATGGGATTCTGATGTAGGAACTAATGAATTCTCAATTTGTAGATTTGTCTAAGAGAAATAACGTCTTACTATGACTCTTTGCTTACTTTTGTATGTAGAGATTGTATAAAATTGATGACTTTGACTAAGTTGATAGAGAACAGATGATTTTATGCCGCCTTGGTGGTGTCAGTTGAAAATCAGTAGATTAAATAATTCTGTGAGACTTAACTGATTTCTTCTTCTTCTTATATAACAATTGTTGAAAAAGGGTGTGGCGCGATTAAGTCGAAAATGTCAGTATGATTATATCGAGTGACTAACGCCTGTCTTAGCAAATATCGAACATTCATCACTGAAACATATACAATATACGTATAGTTATGAATATCTAACATTTAAAGTTTTACCTTGACTCATTTCATTCTCATGATGAAAGGAAAAAGCACAAACACCAAGTGTGGGAAGCCAATTCTTTTTAGGTCAATTTGTTTTTCAAGTTATCCTCGTCAAACGACTTGAATAAGATAGATTTTATGAATCTTATGCAATAGAACAAATAAGTTATTTAGCCATCATTGCTTTTCTTTTCTCTTCATCCTGTTACCTTGATAGATTTTTGCGAATCTTAACAGATCAGTTGAATAGGTTCAAAGATCGTCCAAAATTTTCCACTCCTCTCTGTATACTAGCGCTTGTTTTTGAAAATTATAGACGAATATAGTTGATCGGAATACGCAGTTTTGTGCTATCAAAAATATTTTTCAATTATACTGAGTAATGAGAAGCTTTGATGATGTTATTAGGGATAATTATAAGATATTTCCACATAAGCATTTTACAGAAGCTAACGGGTGCGGCAGAATAAATGACTGTCTGAGTATTTTGATTATAACTTTTTTTTCTTTTTGATCTTTATAACTGGTTGTTTTGCCAAAAGATGCGTCATGAAATTCTCTACAAAATCATAAATAAACTCATTTGTGTAGAAATCTATGGCGAATCTAACAGAGTGGATGTCAGAAAATTGTCTATTCCGTTTCGTTTCAGTGACAACTACTCAATTTTTTTACACTCATCTAAATTACGGCGAAGATTATTTCTGACAAAATACGCCTCAGAATTATTTTTTGAAAAGACATCGTTTCCTGCTACAAATTTGACATGTTACCTAACATTTCTCACAATTTGATCTAAATTCTAAGACATACAAGTATCAGACCATCATTCAACTCTTTAGAGTTACGTAAAATTTTACAGTGTGTATTAAATCGTTTGCATACCGTAGCAGGGGATCACAACTTTTCAGAAGAGACCTCTACACAATAAAAATCTTTTTTTCTGGTCTGGCAAGGTAACATGACTTGATAAAGTCTCTTACGATTTGATTTTCTGCGTAACAGGACTTTTATCAACTGCACTGTTTGAGATAGGTTCTTATTTGAGTTTTTAAAGTCGTCTTACATCGTATTAAACAATCTATCTTGTTTCTATCAGAATAAACAGCGAATTGAGCTTTGCGCTAAAGTTGAATTAGAAACAGAGATGTGCAAATTGAAAAGGATAAATATGAGGTGGTGCGAAATTAATAAAGTTACATATCGTGGTTACGATGTAGTTTTTTGCTGAATAGATATATCATAAGAAGTGCAAAGGGCTACTGCAAAAATAGATGAAGAAATCATAGGCCGACTCCGAGGGTACACGTAATCTTGATTAGTTTTGATGAATTGAAAATTTGATGATGTGTAAAATAAAAATTGACTGTGTTTCTTTTTCAAATTTTTTCTAGTTTCACTTCGTTGCAAATGACAGAACGCATCATTCACAATGAGAATATTCACTACAGTCTAGTAGTTTTTTTCAAAGGCGCGATCTATTTTTTGTCATCCTTTATGTGAATAAGTTACCCGAAGAGTACTCATATTACATAAAAGTACGATGCTGTCTCGCACTACTTCATGGTAGGTGTGTCATATACATTCTGTCGAGTTCAAATTTAAAGAAATACTTCTGAGAAATAATCAAATTGACGACAATGAGAAAAATAGGCTCGGAAAAGTATAACATACTAGCTTCAATTCTCAAGCATTTTTAATAAGTTAAGTCCAAGCCAAGGAATTTTACGCGCGATGAGCTCTATTGATAGCAGAATTGGATACATATTAAGAATGAAAGGCTAGCAGAATTGTTCATGATTTCTACTTATTAGATTTGAATCAAATACATTCATTCAATGTCGACCGTCAGCGATGCAGTTCGTCAACTGAATGCAGCAACAACAATAATTGTACTTGTGATAAGTTTTGTCTGTTTTATACCAGGCATACTAGGTCTTATCTTAAGTGTAGCTGTTTTTTGGCAACCGGTAATGCGTCGAGAATCATGTGTACTCTACCTTTTAGCATCAAGCATTGCTGATTTGTTTGTTGAATTTGTTGTGTTACCTGTACGTATTGCCTCAAATGGTTTTGGTGTAGACCTGGCCTTTTACAATCGTGGTATATGCAAAGTGGAAACTTTTAGTTTCTATACCGTGCGTTCCATAGCTTCGTGGTTGATTGCATTTGCATGTGTTGATCGTTTTCTTCACAGTTCAAGAAATCCGCAGTTGCGCCGATTCAGTTCATTAAAAACAGCACGATTAGTTATCGGAATCACTGTCATTGCAATGACTATCATTTACATTAATATGCCTGTTTACTATGAAATAAGCTATTCACGTAATGCATTCGGAGTGATTGCTCCAACATGCAATGGTCAAAAAGGAGTCTATTTGACGTTCATTTCATTTTGGAACATGCTTTTCTATACAATTTTACCAGGTTTAGTAATGCTTGTCTTCGGTTCTCTTACAATTGCAAATATTCGACAAAGTCATCGCGTGATGCCGTTATCTACTGGAGCACAACAGTTTAGTAGACGTACAAATAATCAACTCTTACGCATGTTAGCTGCTCAAGTATGTTTCATTATAGGCGCTACTTTACCACACTCTATCTATCGCCTCTATGCAGCGTTTACTGCAAGAGAATCACGGAGCGCATTAGGCATTGCTCAAGAAAACCTGGCTTGTAATACAGTAAACACACTAACATATTTCGCTCATACAAGTCACTTCTATTTATATACGCTGACTGGTAGCATTTTTCGCAAGGAAGTTGTCAGAGTTCTTGACCGTTGGTTTCATATCAAACGGTACTTGGCTGGCATATGCCACGTTGAAACGAATTGAACATGTCTTTTTCAAAATAATCGACAAATCATACCTATGTATTAACCTAGGATTCTCCCGATATGCGTTGTTATTCTCATATTTTTGAAAAAACCTATAATTTATCGTATATTTTATCAATAAAAAAAACATGAAAAACTATATGTTCTCTGCCGTAGATAATCTTCATTAATTTTATCATTCATGTAAAGTAAATTTGAATTCGATGAAAATTTTGAAAGTTTTGTTTCTCAAATATTTTGCCCACATGCATATTATTGTACAGAAATAACAACGACAAAAGAAAAAACAGAAAGCTTGTACATTGATACCAATTTTCTCGTGTACTTCAATAACACTTTTATATTAAAATAAATGAGTTAGCTCTATATAGATGTAGCGGTTCTCCAGTAATCATCAAGGAACGTGTTTAGTAAAGACTTGAAAAAATTTTCACAAACCATTCGAAAATATGATTGGGCAAAAAGTACATACTAAATTATTTCACTAAAATTTTCATCCACTCTTAGAATCCTGTTGAGCTCACCGATTTCTATTTTTCTGGCTCTTATTCAAATTTGTCAAAGCAGTTAAATTTCCCTTCCAATGCGATTCTAGTTGTCTTTAATAACTTAAACAAGAATCTATCCCAAGGTGCGAAGCTAATAAAACTGGACTTTCAAGTCGAAACAATATACACAAGTCCTATATTTTTTCGCTTTTTAGTGCAAGCCCTATAATTTAGAAAATAAAATGCCACAGAAACTTCATTTTTTTGAAAATTCGTAATTCAGAAGCAGTCCATATACAATATTTCTATACAGTAGTAAAAGTGGCCCGTGAAAGGCAAGCATTCATTTCTGACACAATTTGATGAGAGTGTGGACGTAAAGTTGATGTGTGACAATCGATTCATAACCTTGCCTACAGCCATAGTCACACTTACCATCAAGAAGTGAAAAGAGACAGTTCCTTTTAAAAAACTTGTATAATTAGAGCAGTAGTGCGTCTCTGAATTTTTGTAATGGTAGGGATGAAAGTCGCAAAAATTTCACTTTAAAACTTATACTCAACATTTTATTCGCAAGTATTGATGAATTCGGCAAAAATATTAGTACGAAAATTTCTAAAAATACGAGTCTTTTATGATTTCACCTCATTAAAAAAATCTTAGGGCTCATTTTTCGCTACAAGTCTATTAATCAACAGTGATTATAAATAAACTAAAGAGGACCTGAAGGGACAAACACTATAACTCTAACGAAAATATCACGCGAACGTCAGTAAAATGTTGAATGACACATCTTACTGTTAATCTATATGGTACAACAAAACAACCAACTGGTCCATACCTGCTTTTTTTGTACTTCATTTCTATGTTCGTTATTACTTCTGATCACTCAATCAATTCACAGTAAAAAAAAATGAAAAGTCTCAGAAAACTGAACACCACGATATATACACACCCAAAAATAAATTTACCAAACGTGTGCTGGCCTGTGAAATGCGTGCCTAATGTAGTGACGCTCTTCATCAGTGTACTTTTACATTCAAAATTTTCTATACATATAAATATGAGATTGATTGTAATCGTTTATGTGAGATCATTAATATAATTCGCAGCTACTTGTTGTAACGCTTGAGTAACCACCTGTAACCAAAACTTTCCCATTTGATAACACAGTTGCTGTTTGATAAGATCCGGCATTACTTAAGCTCACGATACTTGACCAAGTTCCTGTTGATGGGTTATACAATTCAATACTGTTTACCAAAAAACCGTCGGCATCAAGCCCACCAACAACTAACACATTTCCATTTGTTAATACGGATGCTGTGTGGCCATATCGTTCAAAATTCATACTACCCGTGATGGTCCATGTTCCCGTTGATGGATCATATAGCTCTGTACTACTTGAAAAACCAGTACGAATTCCACCAGCAACTAAGACTTTTCCATTTGCCAAAACTGATGCTGTATGACCAGCTCGCCCGAAATTTATACTACTACTGCTCGTCCATGTTTCTGTTGGTGGATCATATAACTCTGTCCTATATAAATAAGCACTACTATACCCACCAACAACTAACACATTTCCATTTGTTAATACGGATGCTGTGTGATAATATCGTCCAAAATTCATACTTGCAGTGCTTATCCAAGTTCCTGTTGATGGGTCATATAGCTCTGTACTACTTACAACACCACTACCAATTCCACCAGCAACTAAGACTTTTCCATTTGTTAATACGGATGCTGTGTGCGAGCGTCGGGCGATATTCATACTTCCAGTGCTTGTCCAGGCTCCTGTTGATGGATCATACAACTCGGCACTATTTAGATAAACATTACCCATTCCACCAGCAACTAGCACTTTTCCATTTGCTAATACGGACGCTGTGTGATAATATCGTCCAAAATTCATAGTACCAGTGCTTGTCCAATTTCCTGTTGATGGATCATACAACTCGGCACTATTTAGATAAACATTACCAATTCCACCAGCAACTAGCACTTTTCCATTTGCTAATAAAGACGCTGTGTGGCGATGTCGTCCAAAATTCATCCTACTGGTGTTTGTCCAATTTCCTGTTGATGGATCATACAACTCGGCACTACTTAGATAAGTAGTATCGACTCCACCAACAACTAACACTTTTCCATTTCTTAATACGGATGCTGTGTGGTCATATCGGCCAAAATTCATACTACCAATGCTTGTCCAAGTTCCTGTTGTTGTGTCATACAATTCGAACATATTTACAGAATAACCATTATTAGAAAATCCACCAGCAACTAAGACTTTTCCATTTGCCAAAACTGATGCTGTATGACCAGCTCGCCCGAAATTCATACTTCCAGTGCTTCTCCACGTTCCTGTTGATGGATCATATAGCTCTGTACTACTTAGAAAATCGCTACCAATTCCACCAGCAACTAAGACGTTTCCATTCGCTAAAATCGATGCTGTGTGCGAGCGTCGGGCAATATTCATACTTCCAGTGCTTGTCCAGGCTCCTGTTGATGAATCATACAACTCTGTGCTGTTTAGATCAGCACTACCATATCCGCCAGCAACTAACACGTTCCCATTTGCTAATAAAGATGATGTGTGATAATATCGTCCGAAATTCATAGTACCAGTGCTTGTCCAATTTCCTGTTGACGGATCATACAACTCGGCACTATTTAGATAAACAATACAAAATCCACCAGCAACTAGCACTTTTCCATTTAATAATACGGAAGCTGTGTGAAAAAATCGTCCAAAATTCATACTACCAGTGCTTGTCCAATTTCCTGTTGATGGATCATACAACTCGGCATTATTTAGAGAAACATTACCAATTCCACCAGCAACTAGCACTTTTCCATTTGCTAATACGGATGCTGTGTGATAATATCGTCCAAAATTCATACTACTGGCGTTTGTCCAAGTTGCTGTTGATGGATCATACAACTCGGCACTATTTAGATATGTACTACTGACTCCACCAACAACTAACACTTTTCCATTTATTAATACGGATGCTGTGTGATAAAATCGCCCAATATTCATACTAGCAGTGTTGATCCATCCTATAAAAAACATTTGTATAGGTTCAAGTAGGAAATCTGGGAAGTATCGAGTATACAAGATTATCTATATCTACGGGAAGAGTTTCGAAATATTCTGACGTGCAAGCTGTTGCTCATTTTAAGTATAAACTAATCTTGAAGTCTTTTAATTAATCTCATTTTAGGAGTTTATCCTGAAAGTTTATTTTTTGCTGTTTGGGCTATGCCTGATAATTTTTCATCATAGTTATAGGAACTATTTCATTGTCGTTAGTAGTTGGAGAGTTGCGTTTATATAAGTGACTATCAGTCATAAGTATTAGACTACTTTGCGATTGTATAAATACTCATCCGACAATAATAAAGGGTAGTAACATGTACTGTAAAATAAGAATTTGACTTTCATTTTGTCAGAATTCTCTGACACCCAATATCAAAATGACATATTATTGAAGTCGTGTTTCTAATTCACATTGAGACTGAATTACTCTACTGCAGAAATCTGTTCATTATTAGAATAGGCATTCAAAAGGATTTCTTGATTAGATAATCGCAAATCGCAGAAGCGCTGACAAATTTATGGTTGATAAATGTTTTTTTGAGAACTTAATAGTAGTTCACAACAGCTGTCGAACGCTGGAGGAAGATTTCTCTCTGAATTCTTGAAAAATTGTTACCTCTGATACTTCAGTTTGAACAAATTCTATTTTATTATACTCCCCAACTCAACTTACTCTAGACACATGAAAGATGCTGAGTTCACTAGAGCTGACAATAAAGATGCAAGAAAATCGACTTAATCGATCGGTGATTTTCGAAGTCGTTGAGATTTCGAGTTTTTTGCAATGATTTTCGGCTGTTTTTTACTCATAATAACAATGAATAAATTGAAAATTATATTGAAAGTCGGACGACTTTGTAGTTGTGAATACGAATTCGAAGCTTCACCTTATATGTATATAATTGTGCCTAAGTTTTTGAGCAGTGTCCAAGGACTGAACTTTAGGAATTCTTCTCATACATAGAAATGCCGCACAACAGTCATAATTACCTCGAGAAAACGAGAACTAATCACCGTAGCCATCACGTATCCTAACTCATTCCCTCATACATCTTTCGGAACTAAATCCTCAAATTTAAAAATCCTGATAGTACCAAAAACAAAAATCCTTCAGATAAACCAAACTAATCACTTTGTCAGCACGAATGATCATCACTTTCAGGGGAACCGAAGAAACATCCAGAACTCATGCTCGCTCTCTGTGAAGGGAACTGTTAATGCAATCTGAATCGAAACGACAGAGGCCATTCTAAGAAAAACAAAAATCTTCCAACCCTGACAATTCCTCTGGTAGTACGTGATAAATAATTGAAGGATCTTCAGGGAACTCAGACTCACTTCCTCCGAGTGACTGGAGAACTGTTGTTTCTCATATAAACGTTTTAAGCCATACTGCATCCTGAAAAGCGCCAGGGAACCTATGAATTATGAGAGTTCTGCTGATAGCACACAGGGACTGACCCGACTACCTTCAAGGCAATAAGCCACATTTCCTTCGATTAACTGGGGAACTGTTGTATTTGATGCAAACGTTTGAGCAATGCTTCTGGATTCAGATATTCTGTTCTACAGCTACTCAAAAGAAATGTGGGTTAATTCCTTGAATGTAGTCGGGTCAGTCCCTGTGTGCTATCAGCAGAGCTATCCTAATTCATCGGTTCCCCGACACGTTTTCAGGATCCTCGATGAGTTGAAATATTCATGCGAAAACAACAGTTCCCCGAAGATCCGATGGATGTGGGCGTGAATTCCTAGAAGGCAGCTTAGCGAGGCGCGTGTTAGCGTCGGTATGTTGCTTTGTATTTGGTTCCTCAGTGCCCTAGATAGCCCTATCTTTATATGGGTTTGGTTGTCAATTCTGAATGCTTTTTACTACTGTTGAGATTTTGCACATAAATACCTCCTTCAGAGATTGTCATCAGTTTCTAGTTTTTACCGCAAGTGTTTGTGTGCTAGATCGATAGTAGCCAATCCATTAGGGAGGAATTGAGTTACTGTGTACGTGTTTTGTGTAGTATCTTTTCCAGGAGGTATGTGATAGTGAGGAGATTATTTGGGATTTTCGTTGGTATTGAGGGGGATTTGCTTTGCGTTTGTGGAGTAATTCCTAATTCCTATGGTGCTTGTTGTTGTATTGGTGGTTTTCTGAGGGTTCGGAAGAATTCCCAGTGTTCCGTCCTTGGATGCCCCTCCTACTAGATCTGCCTTTTCTCTGGCAATTTAAGCTAGAAGAAGTCACCGGGAATTCAAACAAATTTTCTTGAAACTAAAGTATGGCGTCATATGTTAAAAAGACAGTGAAGTTCTATATAATTTTGACCACTGCACAAAAAAAACCAAGTCAGCCGAAATCTTCAGCTTGCAAAGAAAATAGATCAAGATTTGACTTCCTCATCATATGATGCTCCTATCCCTTGCGAGTAAACTTTTTCTACAGCACTAGATCTTCAAAATTTCCTTTAACATTTTCATAAATATTCTTCTCTCTTTCAACATACAAACTAACAGCAATAAACCTGCGTTGATCTGTATGACCTCAATACAGAATGGGCAAGGGCATGAAGTATCCGAATGAGCAGATGCCTTCACATGAACACATCCACAATTACTCTAAAAATGTTTTGGATAACATGAAAACAATTTGCTAAACTCGATTTCTTCATTAGACAAAAAGCGTATGGTTGTCCCATAAGTTATACATGAACACCCACTGAGTTAAGCGTGCTTACCTGATCTGCAAAAATCTAACGATGCTGGTGGTAAACATACTGCTTGTGATGAACAACACGAATTAATAACGCATACAGAAGTATTTGATGCACAATTGTAGGTAACATTATTGCAAGGTTCCAAGATTGAACATAGAATACCTGGTGCACAATAGCTAATATTATTGAATGTACGGTAATCAAAGCAGGGTGTTGTTGAAGAAAGACAGGTGTTCTCATTCGAACTGACATTGCACTTTTGCAAAGAGCAGTTCAATGTTGGTTTCGATGCGGAATGATCCGAAGAAGACAATGTAAATTCGACAGTATTACAATAGTAATTTGGTGCTGCTGTACTTACTCCTAAGCGTTCCTTATAGTATGAAAGAATAAAATCGGAAGAATTTGATTAACAAACCTTGTACGTATGAGAAGAAGAAACTGAAAAGCAGTACTGCTACTATTCGCATCATTTCTGTATAAGAAATGAGCGGAATAAAAATGCTTTTTTCTTTTTGGGTTGTAAATCAAACAGTTGCTATGCTTACTTAACATCTTGAAGAAAACAAAATGTTTCTTCTCTGATGTTTATTCTTCGTGTTGAAATAACAGAAATTGTACATTGAAATAGCATCAGCAAACGAGCGTATGAAATGGGTTCACTGTGAAGTAAATGTCTTCTTTCTATTATTTGTGTTTATTTACTTTCTCCAGCAAACTGCAATTCAACCTTATCTTCCAGACGGACATGTAACAAAGCATATTTCAGTCAAACTCGAATACACTCCTTCCATTGTGTGTGATTGAGGGTGTATATGGGAGTTTCATCAGATAAAAGAACTACACCCAAGCCCTGTGAATAGGGGTGGCACATTTACTTTACTTTTCGTAAAAGTAAATAAGCAAAGTAAATAAAATATTTACTATTTACTTTGGTAAAGTAAATAAAAAAATTTTTTTTAAGGGAGGGGGTGTCATTAAATCAATTTTATTTTATTTACTTTACAAAAGTAAGTATAAAGTACCACCTCTACCTGTGAATCTATCTAATGCTGAGCGCACTTACCAGCGGAGGGAAACCACATTCATTTTTACTTCTTTGCTTAGTTCGATATTCTTTCTGATCAACAAATCAATCACACCTCATCAAAACAACACATAAAAAGCATTTGGAACAAAAAACAAAACACAAAAAACATACAAAACACGTATTGGCTTATTACGTACAAGTCTCAAACAATAGTTGCTTTTATCAAGTTAATTTATTCAGGCACGAATTTGTATGCTTATCAATATAAGATTATGCATTCTCCGTTTTGTTTAGATAATTAATATAATTCAGTGTTACTCGGAACCAGAAATAGATACCCACCGGTGACTAATGCAGTTCCATTAACTAATACAGATGCTGCATGCAGATGTCGTATACTGTTCATACTGGTAGCATTGATCCAATTCCCTGTTGATGGATCATATAACTCAGCACTATCAACAGACACATCGCTGATACCGGTTCCACCAGAAACTAGTACACTTCCATTTGTTAAAACGGATGCTGTGTGGAATCGTCGGGCATAATTCATAATACCAGTGTCTGTCCAAATTCCTGTTGATGAGTCAAACAATTCCGTCCTATTTATATAGTTACCAGCAGCTAAGACTTTTCCATTGGCTAAGACGGATGCTGTATGTAATTCTCGGGCATAATTCATACTACCAGTATTTGTCCAAGTTCCTGTTGATGAATCATACAACTCGACACTATTCAGAATTGTACTACCAACTCCACCAGCAATTAAAACTTTGCCATCTGCTAAGATAGATGCTGTATGGGAATATCTTGCAAAATTCATACTACCAGTGTACGTCCAAGTTCCTGTTGTGGGATCATATAGCTCGCTACTATTTAGATATGTACTGCCCGATCCTCCAGTAACTAAAACTTTTCCATTCGTTAATATTGATGCTGCGTGTAGATGCCGTAAGTTATTCATACTGTCACTGATTGTCCAAGTGCCTGTCGATGGATCATACAACTCGGTACTATTCAGAGAATAGCCGTTAGTACCTATTCCACCGGCAATTAAAACTTTGCCATTGGCTAGAATGGATGCTGTGTGTAATTGCCGGGCATAATTCATACTACCAGTGTTTGTCCAAGTTCCTGTCGATGGATCATACAACTCAGAGCTATTCAGAGAATAAGCAGCAGTACCTATACCGCCAGCAATTAAAACTTTGCCATCTGCTAAGGTAGATGCTGTGTGATAATATCGTGCGAAATTCATGTTACCAGTGTTTGTCCAAATTCCTGTTGATGGATCATACAACTCTGTGCTACTTCGATAACCACCACCAGCTCCACCAGTAACTAACACCTGTCCATTTGTTAAAACCGATGCTGTGTGGCCATGCCGTCCAAAATTCATACTACCAGTGTATGTCCAAGTTCCTGTTGATGGATCATATAGCTCGCTACTGTTTAAATATATATTATGATACCCACCAGCAACTAAGACTTTTCCATTTGCTAAGACGGAGGCTGTATGATAATATCGGAGAAAATTCATACTACCAGTGTTTGACCAAGTTCCTATCGATGAATCATACAACTCGGTGGTCATTGAAAAAGAATAATCGCTTTGTAAACCACCACTAGCCAGTATTTTTCCATTTAGGAGTACGGATAGTGTATGATAGAAGCGTGGATCATTCATCTTGCCAGTGTTGAACCATCCTACAAAAAATTAATTTTTATATGGTATGATGCAGGTTGGTTCCACGACATTACCGCGCAATACAGATTCATGCATAATATTTGCTCGCAAAGTCATCATTCTAACTCTCACTCGTATCCTCACTTTTGCTGTCGTTCTCACCCTTACTTTCGAGTTCACCCTCAACTTTTGCTCCCACGATCGTTGTTGCGCGGAAGTATCGCGCTCGGTAATGTCGTGTCACAATATTCGAAATCGTTGAGATTTCGAGTTTATACTAACTGACTTTAACAAATCTACTTTTTATATTGTCTTCAATATAGAACATTATCTGAAAGCTATTCTAACAAATAATTAAATTTATCAAGGATAACACAAAGACATAGTCGACCATATATTATATGGCAACATCACTTTTAAGTAGAAGAAACTATCATCATTCATTTATTTTAGAGTTTCTAAAAGTATTATTGCTCCAGTAATTTGAGGTTGTACTTGATTCAATTGGCCCCAACGAAAACTTCAAAGACATGATATGTAAATAAAGCTTTTAATCGTGCGAAGAACATTATTTTTTCTGGACTTTGACTAATCAAGACATCTCTAAGCAAAAATCTTTGTGGTGTGTATTGCCACCAGCGGAGGACTGACACGAGATCCGATACGATCACCTAAAAGACATTTCTTTTGTCTAACAGTTTACGCTAGTCGAAGACTCTGAAAATTCAAAGGAATTTTCTTGAAACTCAAATAAAGCATCATATGTCGAAAATAGATTAAGGTATTCAATTACAATTACAAGATTTTACTTGCTCCTCGTATGATGCTGCCATAATTTACCAACAATTTTTTTCAGCGTCAACAGTTCTTCATAAATTTTCTCCTGTCCTTCAAGATACTAACTATAGCAGTAATAAGGCTGCGCTCATTTGTATGGTCTCAGTAAAGAATGGACGAAGGCATTAAGTATGCGTATGAGCAGATGCCTTCACATGAACACATCCACAATTACTCTAAAAATGTTTTGGATAACATGAAAACAATTTACTAGACTCGACTTATTCATAGGATCGAAATAATATGGTTGTCCCATAAGTTATACACGAACACCCACTGAGTTAAGCGTGCTTACCTGATCTGCAAAAATCTAACGATGCTGGTGGTAAACATACTGCTTGTGATGAACAACACGAATTAATAACGCATACAGAAGTATTTGATGCACAATTGTAGGTAACATTATTGCAAGGTTCCAAGATTGAACATAGAATACCTGGTGCACAATAGCTAATATTATTGAATGTACGGTAATCAAAGCAGGGTGTTGTTGAAGAAAGACAGGTGTTCTCATTCGAACTGACATTGCACTTTTGCAAAGAGCAGTTCAATGTTGGTTTCGATGCGGAATGATCCGAAGAAGACAATGTAAATTCGACAGTATTACAATAGTAATTTGGTGCTGCTGTACTTACTCCTAAGTATTGCTTATAGTATGAAAGAATAAAATCGGAAGAATTTGATTAACAAACCTTGTACGCATGAGAAGAAGAAACTGAAAATCAGTGCTAGTATAACTCCCATCGATTCTATATAAGAAATGAGCGAAATGGAATTAATTCGCTTTTTTGGCTTCGAGATCAACCAGTCGCTGTATTTACCTTTCATCGTCAAGAAAGTTATTTTTTATCGTGCTGAAATACCCGAAACTCTACACCGAAATAGTAATAAAAAGAATCACCTTATGAAGTGGGCTCACTATGGAGTAAATGTTGTCGTTCGATGAGTTACCTTTTTTAAATTTCTCCAACAAATTGTAATTATGCCTAAACTTTCGGCTAGACATCTACCAAATCATATTTCAGTCGAATTCAAATACAGTTCTTTCTTTGAGTTACATTGAGGGCGAGGACATGATTATTACTAAAGAAAAGAACTACACTCATACACACACTCCCAATACAAAAAACTGTTTCGTTTTCAATTTTTTTCTCTATCGTATTTTGATTATATGCGTAGATAAAAATCAAAATTTCGACTATGATTGAGGAAGAAGGGTATGAATATTAAATGATTCATTCAATATCCACATTGTTAGATGCTTGTATGTTTTTATGTAAAAAGAATATAAATTCGATTCTAACTCTGCATGCCATACAATTGATAGTATGTAAATCATATTTTTTTTAAAGTATGAACTATTTTCGTAGCATATTGAACAAATAAAGTTCAATAATCATTCATTGGCGAATTCTAGTGGTGATGGTTAGCTCATTATTTCTAAAACAAAAGTGTCACCAGTTTCAAGAGGGTCTTTTTTTGCATCTAGTAGTAGAAAAGCTCCGATGGGAAAATAGTTCCCACTTATTGCATTTATCATTGAGAATAAAGATTAGGTTCTTAACTATAGCCTCCTATGTGTTCGTTTCAATTTTTTTCTTACAAAGAAAATATAGAATATATCAATAATGATATATTCTATATTTATAACCTTGAAAAAGTATTGATATTTTGCTAATACTTTTTTGAGATCAAATTGACAAAACAAAACGGCACAATGATGTATTTAAAAAAACGAACAGCTATAAAAAAACAAGTTAAATACAAAAGAACCTATGTTGATATGCTTGAATTTTACTATTTTATAAATAAAAAATAAAAAACAATTCCTATCATTTTGCTAATTTTGCTTCTTTGTGTTGAACAATCTTTGTTGTCGCCAGTTTTTTCCTTTGGTTCTTAGAAGACTTTTTTATTTGATGAATTTTAATACCAGTTTTACTTTTATGAAATTGAGCAGGTTTAACAAGTCGTTGTTTAGCTTTAAGACTACGTACTGGACGATCTGGCTTTATAATATTATGACTAGGTTGATTATCGCTATTATGTTTTAATGTTTCATTAGTATTTTTAATTTTCATTAATGATAAAGGAGATTCCGTTTTATATTTATCGGTTGAATGTTGTTTAGTTGACAAAGCATTAGTTATTGCAAAATCAAATGCTAGATAAATAGTGACAACGGTAATAATAAAAAAAATAGATGCAAGAATTTTCGTAAGACGCTTCATAATTGTATACCGCACCATATCAATAGTATAATATAGATGTAATAAGGTTATAATATTTTACATATAGATTAGTGAAATGTGAAAAATAATTTGATCATGAATAGTAGAAACAAAATCAACTATCTATTCAGTAAAGAAAACAGTTAATATCGATAGGCGAAGGAGTTTATTCTCTAGAGAATGATAGAAATATAAGCAATTATTGTAGAGCTGATTTTTCTGTTTTATTAGTACACATAGAATCGGCAGCCAGCCATGCTTTATTTTCGTTCTTTTCTCTCGTTTTATATTCTTTTTATTCTGTCGACATATTGTGATGCTATAGTATCTTCTATTTTGCTTCGTATAAGCTAATAGAAAAAAAAAAGCGAAAGAACGAAGGAAAAATTCTTTGTCTTCCTTTCTTCTTTACATCATACTCCACTATTCCTGATTTTACACAGCCTGTCAAATTTCTGATCCTATCAACGCACACAGACGAGCGTTCTGTATGGTTGGTTGTTGTTGCCTCTACGTATTAAAATGAATTCATGGCACGTTAGCAACTGAATATATACGAACTTATTTTAAAGATTATTCTATCTAATATTAAACAGTGAGAAAACAAAAGAAAGATGCGTCGAGAAGAAAACTTAGCTTTTATCACATCCAAACGACCCGCAACAACTCTTGGTCTTATTCCAAAAAATCGTATTTATTCCGAAGAACAAATGCGCGGTGCATTAATATTTTCCGATACGGATTCTCGTCGTCAAATAACTGTTTCAGGTATGGGTGAATTTTCGTTACCACCTGATCGAGTTAAATTAATTGTCATTATTACAAGTACAAAATCAAATGCTAATGAAGCTAAAACAAGTGTTGAACGTCGACTAAAATATGTCGAACAAACCCTACGAAACTATGGAGTTAAAGACGCCGATAAATCGATTGCTAGATCTGTAACACGTCGTGACACAATGTTTGAAGCTATGACTGAAATAACAGCAATATTTGTTGATATACAATGTTATCAAAATTGTCATAATATATTAGTTGAAAAGCTCGATGCACCTGTTGTACGTGTTCTTGATCCAGTATTTTCTCATTCAACACTTCGACTTGAAAATATCAAGTAAATCAATGAAGAAATCCATCATAGAAAATGTTGTTCTTGTTTTTAGACGTCAAGCAAGTGTACAAGCCGTTCGTAATGCTAAACATACAGCGGAAGATATCGCTCGAACAGTTGGTCTTCATGTTGCAAAAGCCGTACAGATAACCGAAGAAAACTACCAAGAAAAAGAAGGTGCCCTAGCTGTTTCCGGGCAACCCACATCATTTCAAAATTTAATTGATGCAAAAACAATAGTTGTACATGTAACATTGAATATTACATTTGAACTTAAAGCAAAAGAACGGCAACGTAAAAAAAATAATGCACAATAATCTATTTATTCACTGATAGTCTATTAGGCCGTCCATTGATTTTGTAATAGAGAAATTTTGTCTAATATAAATAAAAGATTGCTTGTTGTTGTTTTTTTTTTCTAAGAACAATCAAAAGAAATATTAAATTTCAATGATATTGAATTCAAGAAAACTCAACGTTTCAGTCAGAAGTTATTCAAACGATGGGTATCAATTAGAGAGTTTTCTCGTTGAATAGAGTCATTTTTTTCCTATGAAAATTTCAACTTGCAACCTTCGTTCAAACTATAATATTTCAACCAAAAAAAAAAATCCATACAAAACTTCATATAAGTAAATCTGATACTCATTTTAATGTCTTGTTTTCAATGGTTCGGCGGGTAATATTTCATTTTCTTTCGGAGTAAATGCATGTTAAGACGTTGAATTAAGTTGGATTTGTGTCTGATCTCAATCTGAAAACCTTGACAAGAAATTTACTTTATTTGAAAGATTGTCAAAAAAAGAAATTTCAACGTTATTATGGACGAGAAAGAAAATTATAAACGATATGATATTTTATGGGAGACCATAATAATGTTACTTTACATGAACGCTGAGTCGCACTTCATAATCTACAAAGTGGAACTAAAAAGTCGTCTGTTATTAAATCGAATATTTTTAAAATCACATTAACCGTGTACATTACGGTTGATTTTTTAAGAGCGAATAAAAACAAACTGCTTAATTAATTTACTATGACAAAATTGTAATCATAACATAGACTGCCCTATCATTACTTTTAATTCAATGTTCAATGGTTGATACAAGAATTATCACAAGAAATAATCTTCACTAGTCCTGTTCAATTGATTTTCTAACGAACAAAGATAAACAATTAAATATTCCTTTTTTATCTTCACAGCCAATTTGAATGATTGTCAAAATTAATTAATCTCAAATTTTATTATTTTCTTTTACTCCCGACGAAAATGACTTCGTTTTTGTTATTTTTTGATCGTCGACAAATGAAAGCTTTCATATACTTCATTTATATAGACATCAGATAAACTCTTGATTGTCTCTGTCTATAGATGTGCGTGTCTTTATATACGACCTTTGTCCATCATTTCACACTCACTTTTTGCCATTTTCATCTTTAATTACTTTCACATACACATCATCAAAACACTCCATCGTTTTCTTTTCTTCTCCTTCTCTTCACTATATCTCACACTTTGTTGGTCCGATTTCTTTGTATACACACATATATACATACATTCATATGCTCACTCAAACGCTCATTCAATGTATCGGTGTTTACTTTATAATATCACTTCGACCATGGCTGCGTTCTTATTACAATCAATATCCCATCATTTTCTTTTCTGGTTTCATGCATTAACATTTCTATTTATTCGTGGCATTCTATTGAAATTGAATAGTGCATTACGAGTTGATTTTCATTTTTGAACTCTATGCACAAACAAGACAGACATCTCGACACATTCTTATCATCTGACACAAGTCGTACGTTGATCTTGCTATCGCTTTATTTAATATTGACGATGTTCAAATATTCGTTGCTGTTATCAAAACTTATAATCAATTGATTATAGAATAACCTAATGTACTCTTAATAAAACACTTTTACATTGGAAATAAAACAAGTTCAATAGGTAAGTCGATTGTGTTGTAAAGGTCTTATGTTAGTGAATTTCTTTTTTTCTTGCGAATGAATGTATTTAAAAACTCATTTTTATGGCTCATTTGAATAGAAGTGCAAGGCTGCCTATATTTAACTTCCATAAAAATCAGCTGGTGCAATCCATCTAAACAAATTGATTTTCACATTAATAGGAAATCGACAGTACACATACTTTTCTTTTTGAAGGTTATACTAACTAAAATAAAATATCTATCATTATGTATTAATAATACAGATTAAGAGTAACTATATTATTGAGTCTAATGATAGAATCATATTCGTTATTTTTTTTTGGCTTTCTGTTTTGTCGAATGGCAGCACAATAATAATATAATTTTTTTGTATCGTCTTCGTTGTGCCACTATTTTTTCTCTTTTTATTGCTTTGCTTTACGACGTGAAAAAGATATTAAGGACAAAGTATTATTTCGTTTTTTTTTGTTTATCTCTCGAGCGAACCGCCTTTACGTTACCTACACTATTACACTCTTTTTTTCAATGATATGATTACGTATACACAAGGCAGTCTTTAGATTTGCCTTCATCGTTAGATACCTTTTTGATAAAGATAAACAACAACGACATGTTCGATATTGTAAAATCCAAGGTATTGAATTGCTGGGAGCTATTGTTTTTTTTCTACTTTATATACTCGAGTTATTCTTTTTGTTTTTCTTCTAATAAAATAACTATTGTGCATTACATGTATCTATGATGTACTGCATTTTCTCTCTGTGCTATTTCGAATAGGATGCATCTCTTAAAAGCAATTCTTTTTGTTGACATAAACGATTTTCAATTACGAGAGACTAAGCGATGAGGGAATTTAAGTAACTACTACTTTTCGTTTTCTCTTCTGAGGCAATATTCTCTTGCTTCATATATGTATATAAGCATTTTGTAATTTTTCTCTTATGGAATATTGAAGCAATTCGAGTATGTATGAAGGTTGTCGGGTTAAATGAATGGGAATATGATTGAAGAAAATAGTGAATAAAGTATATGGAGATTATTGAATTACTAGTGATCATCTGTTAAAACGATGAATTGAAATTGCTAACATTTGAATCGAGAAAAATGAAATTCTTACATGAATTATTAGTATAACAATTGTTAGTTTAGTTTAGTTTTTCTTTCTTTGATTTATTTTACGATATAGGTCGCTGATGGGTACTTGCACATCAACGACAAGACATCGGCAGAAAGATCATCAACAACTGCATAGACGAATTCCATTGAAGAACTCATTTACACTTGATAGTAAACAAATTTTGCTTTTACCAGTAAATCGATTTCCAAATAATCATCAACCTCAACGTTCACATCCTTCGACATCGAATTTCGATGTTCAATCGTCTTCATTAAAAGATCCTATTTTTCATCCAATTAATTCGAACAGTTTAATACAATTATATTTACCAAATATAAACAATTCAGATAGAAGCAGTTGGATGTCATCCTCATCGTTTGTATCACATGTTCCAACTCGTATTCCACTGGCAAAAAGTCGATTGTCTACTCAACAAACACAATCATCAACAGGACATTTACCATCTAAAAATGTTGCCACTACAGTTGGTACAACTAATCAACCAGGTAATGTCTCCGTTTTGGAATCGTTCTTGCTTGCTCCAATCCCATGTTGAGCTACTGTATGACTCATGAAAGAAATAGTTAGTTCTGCATTTTGCCATCGACAACAGCCATGAGTCTTTCTTTTTCTTCTTTTCTTTATCTTCTTCCATTCCAGAATTTTTTCATACTGTCTTCTTCTCTTTTTTTTCTTTTCTACTACGCTTCTTCACCGAGGAACAATGACAGGAAAAGCAACAAGAATGCCCATAAAAGGTTAACATTTACCAATCGACACATTACTTGTTTTTTTTCTGTTGATAAATTTTACTTCGACATTGATCATTTAACACTTGTTTTCTATAATTATTATTGTATTAAATTTATAGTTTTGACTCGACCAATGTCAACAACAAATCGTGCACCACCTACTTCAACTGTACCAAATAGCGCACAACATCGACCTGGTTTTATACCACGACCCATAGCATCCGGTTTACAACAAGCACAAACACCATCACTTGTAACACGTAGTCGTTCAGTTAGTCCATCATCAACGATAAGTGTTAACTCTGCTTCAACTACTGTTTCTCAACGTTTAACAAAAACTCAAACAATACCAAAAACGACAACAAATCGATCAGTTCCTTCTTCGTCTTCAAATATTAATCAATCATCTAAATCTAAAATAGTTTCTTCTTCTCACAACACTAAAGATTCCGTGCCATCCAAATTGACAATATCTAATCGTTTGCGTTCAAACGCACCTTCACAAATTTCAACAGCATCATCATCTTTATCTACGCCTACTGTTCCGCCTACAAAAACAAATGTTAATGCGATTCGTGATCGATATAAATCATCAAAACGTATACCTTTCTATGGAAGACGTACTTCAATACCTAATTCGCATAGATCTCCTTCAGCAATAAAAGAAGATAAAAACGAAACAACATCTACTGATGAACATACAACAAATAGTCCAATTTATCATCAAGTAAGATCAAAACGAGTTTCTTTTTGGTATCGATAGAAGATAATTCTACTTCTTTTTTTTTTTTTTATAGACTGATGATTTGAAAACTGACTCCTCTCAACAAGCGTCTTCTTCACATGGTGACTCTGCTTACGCCAGTGTAACACCACCTGTAAATCGTTTACCATCTGTACACTATTCTCAAATTAATCGACAACGACAACGAGCGCCAAGTACATTATCATCATCGTCACATTCATCCGACGTATTACATAATGATGCATTTCTTGACGATGAAAATTGTAGTCTAAAGTCAGATGATTTAATCTGTGACTATGATGATACATTAACACTTGAATCTGTTAGTAAAAAGTAAGACTAAATCTGTCTTTTGTTTTTTCTTCAAATAACTTGTATGTATGCATTTGAATTTGTCCAGTGAACGAACAGACTCATTTTCATCGACGTCATTATCTATTGAAATAAATAAAAAATCATCCATGCCAACATCAATTACAGTAGTAAAACCAACTGCTCCATTATTACAGTCAGCGTCCAAAGAAAATCGACCAACAACTATAGCAAAAAGTTCGCCGACTGATAAAATAAATGCTAGTCTTCGAGAATCACTCGATGAATTGACGCAATTGAGTAATCGAATGGATAATGCAATGGACGGTGAACATAATCGGTAAGATGAACGAATGTTTTTAACTTCGAAAATTCCTTTCGAAAAATGATTGCTTTGATTTCCCTGGTGAGTTATTCATTTTCATATATGCAAATGCTGATATCTCATTGCTCAGTCATTCTAATAACTATTATTGAGTGCACTCAATTGTTAACAAATGCTGCTCTTGATTCATTCAATATGTAATTGAATATTTTCAAGTTGATTGTTAATATTTTAGAAGATTATTAGCACGTTCAGTTTCATTAAAACCACCGGCAACTTCATTGCCACCACGTGAAGATGGTGAACAAATTATAATGGATATTGAAGCCTATCGACAAGTAATGAAAGATGTTACGGTTGTTAAGACGATTTTTCATCAACTTGATCGATTACTAAAACATTCAGATGGTACTAATATGACGGTCGGTGTTTCTTTTTCTTTATTGAATTGAGAAGACAAAATTTATTTTACTCGAACTATTCTAGGATTCAATGATTGGTTCATTTCATGAAACTATGCTCGGCTCAAGACATTATTCAACGAGTAGTATGGATGGTAATCTACGAAATTCAATTGATGAAAATTCTACTTATGATGATTTAGTGAAAGTAAGAAAATAAATTTTTCTATTCTGATAAACATGACAAATAATTCGTTTTGAAGGAAATTATTATATTACGTAAAGAAAGAGAACAAGATAAACAAACAATTAGATTATTACAAGATCAAATGGTTTGTATAACAGCATGATTTCTGTCGAAATCTTTGTAATATTCTTCTATTTGTTCTCTCTTTTAGTATAAATATTCCAGTCAAACAAACGTTTAATATTCAACATTCCAATGTTAGTTTTTATTGTAAAATATGTTTTGTCAGTGTTTTTATTTTTGAAATTTTAAGAATAAATGAAAGATTCGATTTATGATCTTATTTTTATAATAATATATATATATATATATATATATTTATATGATGCTGAAGAGATTGAACTCTGGATATAGCTTCACTTTTATAAATTATCCCTTCGATTTTGCTGAAGAAAAGTATTGAATGTCATTAATCAATTCAGTCAACTAGAATATTTTTAATGAGAAGTGAAAAAATGTTAGACAATTGAAAAGAATTTATCGGATAGCAGTAATCGATTGTTTTGCTTTCTCTTGTCTTCTTCCAACGGCTTATATTACTTCTTTAATCAATACGCTAGGTTTCTAAGTAAATAATACTTTAATTAAACGGAAATTGCATTTACGGATTAAGGCAAAACATTCTAAAAATGGTAAAATACCGAAGAAAAAGCTAGAACAACTACAGTATGATTTTTCTTTATCTTGCTTTTATCAAAACCTTGAACAAACGAAGCGCTCTCGGTCCTTTTCAAAGAAGCATTAAGGCAAAAACAAATTAATATTATTGATTCAATTGATATAGAAATCTTTCTCCTACTGTCATATTTTCAGGGTGAACTTATTTTCTCAAAAGAGCAAGACATTGTTATCAACCATAAATGTGCGATTCTAATCGATTGTCGCTTTTTCTCTTTTAATTTCTTTAGGTGACAAGTAAAAACTTTTTCTTTTATTCAACTTTCCACACGTTGCCGTCTCGCTTATTCTAACACAATGCGACACTTACTCCAATTACGGGCAAGTATACTACGTTTTTTAAGCCATTTTTTTCTCACTCTTCGCTTCTTCTTCTTTTTTCTCTCCGTCAACACCGGTAAACATTCAATTGAATATTCCGGCTCAATCACGATCGACATCGGTCTATTCTTGTTCTTTTCTTAACAGTATTTAGCTGACAATAATGGGCAATACAACATCAGAAGTTGCTTCGGGTGTAAAAGCTCAGATAAATTCGGATGGGCAAGGTCCTGAACTTTATCGATTTGTTGATTTAAAAGTAAATTTAGTTTTCGCTCACGTTTATCGTTTGAAACATCAAAAAGAAATCTTTAGGGAAGCGGTGAATTTATCGATGTTATGCGTGTAGCTAATCGAACTAAAGATTATACACAGATCGATGCACTTATTCATGAACATATTCCAAGATTTCTCTATAATAGTGGTGATGGAAAATTGGTAAAATAATTTGCGAAGCAAAAATTCAAGAATTTTCGTGTTGATTTTTGTAGGTTACAATAAGTGAAATTGTCAAACGACGAAATAATACTTATAGTAAATTAAAAAGTATTATTCCAATTGCTAAAACAATCGATGAAGAAGATATAAATTGTGAATTTTATATTGTTTGAAATAAAACTGGAAACAGTTCTTTTTTTTTTGTTCAACCAATTTAGGTGAAGAAACAAAGCATGTTTGTTGGGATCTTGATTTACGTGGTGGTGTTGGTGAACATATTCTTCATATTTGTTTTCTTTCATCAAGTCCTGTTCATTCAGCTTTAGCTAAAAGACTTCTAAGATATTATCCAAGATTAATTGATGATTTATATATGGGCGATGAATATTACGGTTCGTTGCGTTTATTTTGTTTTCTTTATCGCGGAGATGTTATTTATTGTTTAATTGTCAGGTGAAAATGTCCTTCATATTGCCATTGTTAATGAAGAACCGGCAACAGTTAAATTTTTACTTGATGCTGGCGTCGATTTTACACAAAGATGTTGTGGAAAATTTTTCTGTCCAGAAGATCAAAAATCGAGTCGGTAAGTGGAAAACGGAAATATTTCAAGTGCTATTCATAAAATGTTTTCTTTTTCAAATGTTGTTAGCGTGGATAATGTAGCAAGAGAGTGTCCTGAAGTGAGTGTAGCAACAAATTATGAAGGTTATTGTTATTTTGGTGAATATCCACTTTCATTTGCGGCTGTTCTACAGCAAGAAGAATCAGTAAGATTATTAGTTGCAAAAGGTGCTGATACGAACTGTCAAGATTCTAATGGAAATACTGCTTTACATATGTGTGTTATTTACAATCGAATTGTAAGTCTTTCGTTTGTTTTCGTTTTTCTATATTAAGTCAACGACAATTCAAATCATATGAGACTGTTAATTCGATAAGTTATGCATAGTTTTAATCTCTTCATTAGCGATAGGAGATATCAAAACTTGAAAAAATTCATATTATTTGAATGTTCTTGACTGAAAAATGGATGTTGAAAAGAGATTCAATTAATTTTTTGTCTCGAATAGAATATGGTGGATTTAATTTATGAATTAGGTGGAACATTAGATATAAAGAATCGTCAAGGTTTAACACCGCTAACATTGGCAGCTGTTAAAGCAGGCAAAGAAGTAAGAAAACAATTAAATTAAACACGGGAAGTAAACAAATATTAAAAATCTCATTAGATGTTTGATCATATTTTACAAAAAACTCGTATCATCTATTGGCAATATGGAAATGTGACGTGTGCTGGTTATCCATTAGACGATATTGATACCATTGGAAAAGATGGTTCTTTAGATGATACAAGTGCACTTAACATTATAGTTCGCGGGGTAAGTACGAAATGGAAAAAAACAACTTTACTAAATATTGATGAATCATCCGATTCCATTCCATAGGAATCAGCTGGCCATTTAGATATGATGGATGGTTTGATTGTACAATTATTGAATGAAAAATGGCGTACATTTATCAAATTCAAGTAAACCGTTGCTTTTTTCCTCACTTTTTTTCTTATTGAAAAAACAAAACTTTTCGATAGATTTTTTCAACGTATGGCAATGTTTAGCTTTTATTTTGCTATATGTTTGATTGGATTAATTATTCGTGGTTATTATCGTGTACCACAATCGTGTCTCATAGAAGAAGTTATTGATAAAGATGAAAATAGAGTCAAATCAACCATAGCCAATCGGATGGATTGTAAATGTCATTATACAAATTTTCGATTGCATAAACTTAATGTTGGTGATGATCATCAAACCATATCGAGTAATAGTTCGAAATTATATCCTAGTGATGATGAGAATAACAACCGAATATTTGAACCAAAAGCTATAGTAAGAGAAGAGTGGATGCAAAAAAACCGATCGAATACTATTTGTTTTTTGTTTTTATAGCTTTTAAATATTTTTGATGGTTTAAGTGTTCTTGGTGCATTGATCTATCTAATACTTACAATACAAGAATTTTCCTATCAAAATTTTAAATTAGGCTCATTTATATATCTCAATGATCCAACACGCGTCTTATTTCTGTTCTCTTGTGTATTAACAATAGCAATGTTGCCAGCTCGATTTACTTGTTCAATTATTGTTGATGATGTTCTTTGTGTATTTGCAATACTTACTCGAGCACCTTATTTTTTCTTTTTTTGTCGGTAAGCTGTTTAAAAACAAAAGAATTCATTTTCTTGAATAATACTCATTCATTGTTTTCTCTTTGCATCCTTATAAAGTGGTTTTCGAACAACAGGCCCATTTGTTGTCATGATCTATACAATGATTCGCGGAGATTTATTACGATTTTGTTTAATATTTCTTGTTTTTATGGCTGGTTTTACACAAGCACTTCATGTTTTATTTGTTCGCGTCCATTGTGAAAATGACTTTGCAACTGTTATTGAAACATTTTTTCATATGTTTTGTGTTACATTACAACAAGTTACAGATGCTTATGAAAATTTCAATCGACATCCAATTATTGGCATTCAAATAATTGGAAAAGTAAATAGAATCAACGAAAAAGCATTTGCCATATTTAATAAATATTCTAGATTTGGTTCATCACTTACATTGTCATCGCAGCAGTACTTCTTGTTAATATGCTTATCGCTAGTATGTTTAGAAAATTTTGATTTTCGTCAATAAATTCGTCTTTGTTTAGTGATGGGTAACACATATGCTATGGTAAATGAACGAAAGAAAGAATGGCTTCGACAATGGGCCAAGATAATGTTGATTATTGAACAATCCGTTTCGAGAGAAGAACGTTTAGCACAACAATCGAATTATTCCAAAAGAATGCCTGATGGTTCAAGACTTTTAATAACACGACTTATACAATCCGTAATATCTTTTTTTTCTTTTAATTTTGAAAATAATTAATCTTGATGAATTTGATTTTAGGCGGATGAACGTACAAGCATTGAGAGTATGCGTTCATTTTATTATGATCAATTACGACGACATTTAGAACCTGAAAGTATATCAATACAATCGAAAACAAAATCCATTGCTGCTATTTCACAACACAGTTCTTTATTACCTGGACCTTTGCCAGTTAAAAATAATCAAGATCTACTTCGAAATCTACGAACACAGGGTAGTTTTAGTTCATTTGATACTACTGCACTTTCATAGTTTGTGATGTTTTATGTCATAAAATTCTTTAAAAGGACTCATTGGTGTAATGTCACCTTTTTGCCTTTAAATTTACATCGAATCTACGGTATGAACTAGTGTCTGTCATTGTGGTTCAATTGTTTAGCAACAGATACTCTGATAAATCCATCTTCTCACTATCTATACAAGTATACATAAGAAATTTTACAATTTGTGTGATTTTTGTGTGGTTTTATATTATATTTGAAAATAATAAATTTATTTATTTCTCCTAACTTGATTTTTCATTAGTCTAGATTTTTAACAAGGCTATATTGTATTACCTGATGAGCTCCATAAGCGATTGAATTCAAATTGATACGTTGATTTATTGGAATATTTTTCGATAATGTCTCCTCCAGCAACTCCAGCGATTGACAAGAATTATATTTTCACTGGAAGAAGTTGATAATAGTCATAGAAGTATAATTGATCATGTTCGTGCATCCTTCATTGCATGAACAGTAGTTTCATGTGTTGTTCCGAACTTCAATATCAATGAGTATCTGATTATCGATCAAGGCATCATTTTCATTTCTTCTAGATCAATCGAATAAAGATTGTACCTGAGATTTTTCATCTCTCGTCTATGTGCATCTGTTTTTCTCTGCTCCAAAACATTCATGAGCATCAGACTATCTAAATGATTGTTTTACTCGAAAATTTGAAATCGATTCTTATTGAATATTTTTGATTGACTGAACGACTGACAATAACTGCTGGCAAACTCTGAAGAAGAGAAAATTAAAGAGGATACTGATGAAACTTTTTGGCGTGAGATCGAAATTACATGTGAGTGAAATCAGATAAACAATAGAACCACGCCTGCATAAAGGTAGCTTAATTATATTTCTCATACACTCTAATTTTAATATCTGACAATGTTGAATTTCTTGCCGTTTTCCGGGAACAAAAGCAAATTCCATTGAATAAGGCATGACAAAAATAAGGGAAGAGATAAATATTGAAGAAATTTAAAAAAAGAAATGATAGAATTACTATGTCTTTTTCTGTGTTTCATTCATCTTAATTAACTGACGAGAAAGAACAGAAATAATCACACATCTGCATGAGGAGGTTTTTCGATTGAAAAGTGTTGGACTCAATTGTTATCGTAGTCGACAACATAGATATTACCATGTCGATCGTATGACCAGCCCAATGGGCCATCGAATTAATTTTCGTTGTCTCCTACACCATTGCCACCCATAATAACAGTGCCTTGTGTCGCTCCTTTTGACCAACGCATCACTCGATCGTTGTTCGTATCTGCTACATAGAGTCTATCCAAACTATCGACGAACACTCCTTTAGGATTTGCCAATTGTGCTAGAGCACTTCCCTCACCTTGGTCTCCAGCAACGACAATACCTTCTTTTGCATATCTGTCCCATTTCATTACACAACGATTGTTCTTGCCTGGGACATAGACAGCTTGTTGTCTATCGACAAAGGTATAGGTTGGTTCACTCAATTGATCGAGACGATCTCCTTCTCCAAATGCCACCAACCACCAGAATTCCATTTTTGTGTCTGAGTAGATATCGTTTGACTTCGTACTTTCCGCTATCAGAAACATAAAGACATCTATGATCGTTCATAGCCAAACCGTAACAATCAACGTTGTCCAGAATAATTTCTCCTTGAGTTGTGTCACCATGAAGAGACCACTGTAAAACTTGTTTATTGTATTGATCACAAATGAGAAGACTATCCGTCTCTTTGTCAATCAAGGCATCACTAGGATTTTGTAATGAATTCAATCCATTACGAGTGTGGATGTGGGGTGTGGGTGTGGATTTGCATGTATAATGTGCATATGGATGAGCGTTTGGACAGAATAACATCCACACCCATCTTATCTAGCATCTCTGAGTAGCTATGAAGTTTTTGTAACAAGCGTAAACAAATAAGCCAAATAATCAACTGAAATCAAAATGTTGTTTTCTTGTTTCGTTTAGTACTAGACGTTATTTATTTATCTTTTGAAACTCGACTAATCACTGTCTACATACGTATGTAATTAAACTTAGTATTATCGTTATGATCATGTGGATTCTGCCATCCTTTGATCGTGTTATGTTGTTTATGCATTAGATATTGCCACAGACACTTCTTCAATATTTCCTTCCTAGACTTTCAGTGTTCGCTGATAGACCCGATGGTACTTTTTTTTATATCGTTGTGTTGATGTGTATTTTAAGGATAAGTAAAACAGTGAAGATTGAAACATTCGTAACTGAATGAATAATCAAGAAGTTTTCGATATTCCACATGACTGTATATGCTATCAAAGGAAACGTAGTGATTGTATGAAAGCTTGATCAAATTGCAACAGTATGTATTCGAGAATGTTAAAATTCAACCTGTTTTTGTGAAATTATCACAAATATCGTGAAATAAAAAAGAGTTATTAGCTGAATAGCCGAGCTATGAGTAGCTTCGAAAGCATAAAAGATTCGGTATTTTTTATACGAAGTCTTCTATAATTTCATAGATTCGTCAAATGATTTTATATATGTACATTGTAAGAAACCATTTTTGGTTCCGTAGAACATCTAAAGGTTCAGTAGATATAATATGACGTCAGCATTAGTTCTCCAACTCGTATAAAGGTTCTGTTTACATTATACGAAACCGATGATAGTTTCGAAAACTATATTACGATTTCGTATAGACTACGAAACTGTTCAAAGTTTCGTAGAATATAGAAAAGCTCCGTGTATATGATACTCATCCGTCGACGGTTTCGTAGTTCGTATAATGGTTTTGCATACTTTATACGAATCCGTAAAGAGTTTGATAAATCAACTAATGCTCAATGCATCGATTGCCAAACCTTTAACAGTTCTGCAACTGATCTGGAGGTTTAGGACATATAGTATCTAACGGTCGATAGTTTCGAAGGCTGAGTGATGGCTTTCTATTGATTGTACGAAGTCATTCGTAGTTTCGAAGAACACTAAAAGGTTCCGTTGACCTGCTACGAAGCCATGGAGAGTTTCGTAGATCATCCAATGGTTTCGTAGATCCTTTACGAGACTATGAATAGTTCTGTAAGTGCCGTAAAATTTTTGCACACGGTTTATGACTCTATGGGTAGTTTCGCAGATCATATAAAGGTTTGGTCTATCTGACACGGAACCGTTCAAAGTTTAGTAAAATATCTAATGGCTCAGTATATCCCACACAAAACCATTAACACTTGCGCTAGTTACCTGAAGGTTCAGTAAACACGTGGCGGAGCCATATGGAGTTTCGTAAGTCTTGTACAGGTTCCGCATGCGCTTTCCAAAACTACATGTCATTTTGGAGGACACTTAGGGGTTCCGTATATCTCACACAAAACCGTCAGCAGATTCTTAGAGTGTTGAAAGGTTACGTATATGTGAGGGTGTGGGTCCATATATAGTTCTGTATGTGTTGCGAAGGCTTCACACACATTTTTCAAAACTATTGATAGTTTCGAAAGTCATATAATGGTTTCTTATACATGCTACGAAACCAATAGTAATTTCGCCCGTCATGTGAAGGTTTGGTATATCTCATACGAAACCATTAAAAAGTTCAGTACATAATCTAATTGTTTGGTATACCTTATACAAAGCCACTCAAACTTTCGCCAATAATCTGAAGGTTTTGCGTTAATGTTACAAAACTATTAGCGGCTTCGTAAAGCGTCGAAAGGTTTTGTATCTGATACGGAACCATGATTCGGTTCATACAAGTTATATAGGTTACGCACGCATTTTACAAAACCATTGAAAGTTTCGTAAAATATCAAAGCGTTCTGTACGCGTTGTAGGGAACTATTCATAATTTCCTAAGCGATATAATGGATCGGTATATCTCTTACAAAACCATACCCAGTTTCGTGCAATATGTGCAGTACTAATGAAGTAGGTACGAAACTATGAGTGGCTCCGTAAAGTTTAGACGAAACCTTCAGGCGGTCTACGGAACTGTCAACGGTTTTGTATCAACAATACGAAACTATCAAGGTTCAGCACATGATGAGCTGAACTTTGAAAGGGTTTCGTAGAAAAACGCCGAAACCCTCTAAAGTTTTCGGAACTTAAAAAAGGTCTGTCGGAAAATTGCGAAACGATTTCTTTACCACCGAACTTAAAATCGTTTCGTAGAAAAGTGCCGAACCTTAAAAGTACGGTAAAATACCTATTTTTTTACAGTGCAAGTCTGGTTAATTCATTGAAATATTTTCCATTTGTGTCTTATGTAAAGCCAATGAAGTAAGGTTGTTCGTTTGGTATCCTCCTGTTACATTTTGAATGTCCCATCATTCCTTCCCTAGAGTCTTAAGCTCTGTAGCTAAGATTAGCAACCCAGGAAAATGACTCCTGAAGCAGTATTCCGTGAATTTCCGGCGAAAAAATGCAAGAAACTCGCTGTTTCCGATCGGAACCCGCCGGGAATTGTCCGGAATTCGATGCAGGAATCCGGAAACCGTATCCGGCTACCAGTTTTGACAGGTTCCTGTCGATTCTGGCCGGAACCGGATAAGTCCGGTCACCGGATCCTTTCACCGGAATACCACAGAACCGACCGTTTTCGGGACCGGAATGTTCGACCTGGAAACTAGAAAGAGCATTTTGAACCCGTTCCGAACGATAATTCTGGGAGAGTCGACCTTAATTTGGGCGAATTTGAAATAATAGAAAGAGTTTGCGATGATACTCATGCAACTCTGACGTCTTAACTTTGCGTATCGAGTTCTGTAAAGCAGAACTTTACAGCGGCCTTTCTGGGCATCGGAAAGTATGAAATTCAAGATGAGTTGATTTGTTTATATTATCTTGAAGTAGAGTGGTAAACTAATTAAGAACAGCATTATTGACCCCGTTTATTCCTTTTCTGTGTAAGGAATATATTTGATAATATGATTTTTTGGAGTTTGATGATCGATGTAAAGATTTCTGACGCAAGAAAAGGATAATTTGGGTCAATAGTGCTGCTCTCAACCGAACTCCTATTCTACACTGAAAACAAAAAGGGTCTCACACGAAACCTAAAAAGGTTCCGATTTTTGCAACGAAATCGAAACCCTTTTAAGTTTCGTAAAAGACAATAATTTTATCCCCTATAAAAAAAGGGTTTCGCTCTTCGTGTTCCATAAAATAAGCTACGCAGTATCGGAGAAAGGTTTCGCTGAATAGTATACTCTACTACAAATGCAGTTTACACCACTATTCAATACAAGACTCATGTATAAATCTCTGCTTTCGCAGCTCTCTCAACAACAAAAGCACTGACGATCCCAATCTGTTTAACGTATCTTCTCGCGACTCTATCACTACAATTCCGATTGTCATCTATTGAGCTATACAACATAACGTCCACTATATTAGTACTTAGACTCTCTCATCGAAACCGAAAAGACAAGAACTTTTTAGTTTCTTCTCATGGGAACGGCTACACTATCCACCCTATCAAACCGGGAACAAGTCAATACAGATAATTCCTTTTGGAATAGCACCCACATCCACAAAGGATGTTATTCTTTTGCCTGAGCTTTATGAAAAAAATGATTGATTCTGTTGGTAAGTTAATGAAAATAATACCACTGCTGCCAAGAACCTAAACAGTAAATATTCGAATATATTAGTTATATTAGTACCTTCCGAATCATAGAATTATTCATCAATCTAAGTAGAGAATGAATTAATTGATTAATTCTAATGGTAACTTAAGAATAATAGAATTCTTCCTAAAATCTAAATAGAAGATAAACGAAGTTGGTAATTCTAATGATACGTTACCAATGATAGAATGGTTCCAAAAATCTAAATAGAAAATAAATGAATTGATTAATGCTTATGGTAACGAACCTTTAATACGAAAAAGTGTAGTTTAAGTATGATATGATGTATGTGCATATTATATAGCCAAATTTCAAAAATTGAATCAACTCTAAATAAAGAAATGAATGAGATGTGAAGAAAAAAAAGCAATAATATACGCACATCAAATAGTTGTTATAGATTCAGCAATTGCTTTTGTGACAATAATTGAAATATAGTAACTACTGGATCGAAGATCTAATCTAAATTAATTAGTTCAATATAAAACAAAAGAATAATCTTAACAAAAAATATAGCATTGTTGTAATTATACTCCGATAAAAGACAACCAACAAATATGTTGCACGTCCTTTATCATAACCGCTGGAATCTGATGAGAGAAAACAGTTAGTGATGAATGCAATAAAACGTTTTCTAGGATGAGTTCAGAAATCTGTCGATGAGATTTAATGAAAACCGATTGAATGAAATTGTGAGAGCACAGGTTAATTGCATGATTACCCAGGTCGTTCATTCCTACAACTGGATCCAATCGGATCTGAAAACGGGTTACCTCAGATCGGAATCCAATGCATATCCGATCGTACCCTACTCTGGGATCCGATACGCCAAATAAGTCTGCTATAGTCAATCTCTAAAAAACTTTTTTTGCACTAAATAGAATTTTGATCATTTTTTTAATTCTCCCGTCGGTTCCGTCAATAATTTCGAAACGCAGAGTCCAATTGAATTTCCTCGGATTAGTCAACCTGGATAGTCATGTAGTTGTGGTGTTATATGCGATGTCGAGAGAGATCGCTTTGTTTTTTCACGATATGCCATGAATACGTTCTCTTCGCGAGGTATTTTAACAAACCTGTTGGAATGCAAAACTCAAAAGGGTTTATGACCAAACCTATTGTAAATCACAAATTCGAAATAGTTCACAAGGAAACCTTTTTAAATTTCAAAACTCTCAAAAGCATATTACAAAACCTTGCATTTTGTTGAACCCTGTACAGATTTTGTATAATTCCACGAAACTTCGAAGGTTTCGTTTGGTACCTTTTTGTTTTCAGTGTGCCAAACTGTAGAAAAGCGAATATGGCTTGTGACACATATGGAACAACATTGTTAACGAACTTCAATTGAAGCGTTTGCATCGATGCAATGTGTGCTATCAAAATTGTGTAGCCAAACCGTCTGTTTATTGAGAACAAAAAAAAGAAGAAGTGAGAGCTGCTACATCATATAGCTGTTGAAAATAGGTGCACACAATACAGAGTGTCAGTTCGAGAGATATACCCACCATAATAACATCGAGAATTCCCTGCGATTACGGTAAAGTCTGAATTAAGAAAGATATGAGGCAAAGAAGCGCATATTAAAAAATAGGAAAGTGAGAAAAAAAAGCTAACGAGTAGAACTTTGCTCGATGATCAATATTGTTCATAGTAGTCCATGATGTTATGTTGGAAATCAAGTAAATGTGAAAGCTTCCATGATTTTTACCAGGGCTACAACGATGACATTATCATAGTGAACAAAATACACTAAACGCTATGTAGTGAATAGTTTCTATGAGAACAAGAATTAATAAGTGGTTAATGAAGAGTATCTACGAGAAAATTGCGAAACAGATTTTATGGATTTGCAAGACTGTAAACATTAGCCGCAGAGAGCTCTCTCGAATATAATTCGAATTCGTCGATATAGCCATTGTATTGACCCATTGTAATTACACCTGATGCACATGCGCCTAAGCCACTGAGAGATGAACCTAATAAGAGTGAAACAGGAGTACCAGCGGCTTGATAGGTATAGCTGCCAGAAGCTGATCCATATTGAGCTCCGTTAACATACAGTCGAAGTCCATATGAGGGTTCATAAGTCACTGCCAGATGCGTCCACACATTAGTTGTAACTACAGGACCAGTGATCGATACAGAGTTGGAGTTCCAGCTCTGGACACCAACATTACCTGAACTGGTAAATCCTAACATGGGAATGCACCAACCAAGACCAGTTGTTCCTGATG